CTCATTTCCAAGAATATTTCGTTTTTCCTTTAGTTTACACATCTATAAAATATAATAACTTTAAAGCATAGGATGAAAATATTATTTCTTATTGTAACATTTATTATTATCGTAATAAAACTTCTTATTATATGAGGAGAAAATAGGTCATAGAATAAGTAACGGTCGCAGAAGACGAAATGACTGTTGTACATATGAGAATGAGTCTCCAGCTGCTAAAAATACCGCCGTGACTAATTCTTCTATCTGCAAGAAATAAATAAAACTAACATTATATGAAAGCAACTTTATATTCGTATTAAATCTTCATTTAAGTTAAGATTGCTAAAATACTTTGATTTTGAGTTATAATTAGCTGGAAATCAAGTATGCAAAATAATATTACTCTGAATTACAATGTGCAGCACAAAATTTTAAAATCCTTCAGTCTCTTAGTCTTAATTTTAAGAATGATGTAGACGAACAAGCAAACATGTAAGTCGAATAACAAAAAAATGAAAAAGTCGATGCATGCAAAAGTGTGTAACAAACATACATTAAAAAACGCAAACGTAAAAAATGCTAATTTTATTCAAAGTGCTATTTAAAAGTGCTAATTTTATTGCTAATTTGGACATACATATAAAACATTAAGCAGGAAACAAACTTCTTCAGAAGGCGTATCAACCGCACTGATATGTTGGGCAAACTGATTACTGAAAAATGAAATCTGTCGTCCGATCAGGCTATGTAATTCAGAAAACGGTTCCTGTTTCACTGTGGTAGCTGTAATTAACAGCAACTGCCCCAATTTATGAACTGATTGCACGCTCTGAGCAGTAAAATCAGCCAAACATTCTGCAGATGAGAACATGACATTGTGGAAATAAGTCAATAAAGTGTAAGTGTTAACCCAAAATTGTCCTTAAGTCCTAAACTTCAATTTTAAACTGAAATGTCAATAATTTCTGAAGAGGACATAATACTACTCTAGCTTAAAAAAGCGACGAGATACCCAAAAAAAGTTCGAAAATTTGATCGCCAGAATCCGATAACCTTTTCAAACGTTCTTGACATCGCGTATAGGAATCCGTCAAACCCGAACCCTGGAAGTGATGATTGTATATAATGAATCTTATACGGTCATCTGTGAAAATAAATAACGTAATAAAATCAGATATAATTTTAGCACGCTTACATCAAACAATATAAAACAAATGAAAACCAGCCTCACCTTGTAAGGTAGGGCGATGGCTAACAATATCTCTTTAAAATTATGCAGGAAATTTTCCTGTTGATCATCCTGATATTCTTCCAAAGTAATCGCCAAATCTTCAGCGAAAATTTCATCTACTTCTCTGGAAAGATTAAACAACCTGAATAGAGAAGTGTTAAAATTTAAGCTACAAAATTCCAAAATCAATGATTCGGATAACTCAATAATCAGCTCGTTTTACGTTTCTTCCAACTTTTTTTTGTACTAGCTTCTTGGTAATAAATGCTAAATTATCCTTTTCAGTACAAAAAAGGGCTTTCCAAAGGCAGAGAATATAAATCAGGGCATTTAAACTCAGAATTTTAACATAAAAACAAAAAAATTTCAGAAAAATGATAAAATACCTTCTTCTTTTTGGTGGAATTTTTCTTAGATAATTTCTTGAAAGCAATTCGAGGCCTTCTAGATGAAGCATGCCACTAAATTTCTCGAAGAAATCAATAAATGTAAGTTCGCGCTTTGTAATATAACTAGTTTTAAATGCCGCTCCTTCTGCTTGATTTTCGCGTAGCTCTCGTAAAACTTCGGACAAATTTTGATCCCTTTCTGGTTCGAAGATAAATCGTCTTTTCTCGGAACCCTAATTTTTAAATATTCCAAAGTAAAAAATCGACAATTTATATCTCATATTATGCCCAAAGGAAAATATCCTTTCTTATCTGCACTGCTATTTATGAATGTCATCGTATGGTTAAAGTAGTATCCAAACCTGTTCTGGTACGGTTAGTTTTTCAAATGTCTTCTTGCCAAGTGCTTCAAGTACGTCTAACGAACCCGTTACAACGTTAGCTCCAAAACCGGCGAACAGCTTGCCGTATGATTTTATGTTAGAGTTAGCTATTTCTTCCTGCAAAATATAGCACTTTAAGTAGAATTCGGGCCTGTAAATAACGAAACAATTTAATTTTACATTTTAAGACAAGTAAATTAATATAATTTGAATTACAGTAGGACTAAGTTCAGCAAATGCAAAATGAACCATTAAAACAAAAAAAGCCAACTTTCGTAACCTTTGTGGAGTCATTTGCGGACTTCTCTACCAATTGGCTTCTTACTAATTCTTCTGGTGTCGGCAATCCAAGACCTGATTCGATAACGCTGGACGCATTTGTTAAACCTTCTCCTCAAAAGAATATAATATTGAGTCAGAAAAAAATAAAAGTAAAACACAAAACATTTGAAGAAAAATTTGACAAACTAACACCAGCATGCTGAATATCACTAGTGTGATACAAGCATTACTAACCAACAGCAGCGAACATATCGCCAAATTCAGTCCAATCCCAGAATGACTTGTTTGGCTTGACTTCTTTTGTTTTCAATGCAACCTGAAACATACCCAAACCGAATTTTTAATAAAGCCAATGAATGAGTAGAAAACACGGAGATACCCCTCAAATGCTTGATTTAGATGCCCCTTTTATTTAGAAGCTGATTTGAATTAAATGTATTTAAATCAGAGATTTAAATCAAGAATATTGAAACACCAACCTGCGATTCCGAATTATCAATAATTCGATTTTGTTCGTCAGATGTCAGCATGTATGGCGATTCCCGATTTTCATTTTGGATTCCGCTACCGCTCGCATCTTTCCCTGCATACTCCAATTCCCAATTATCCCACCCGTCATGATCAATAATAGCTTTTCCCTCAGACCATTTCTTTTTCTCTGTCTTATTGGCATCATCCACATTATTTATAATTTTCGAAATAAGTTTTTGCTCAGGACCCTTACTTTCAATTCCAGACTTTTTATCAATATCTGTTCTAATCTTTTGCACTCCTTCACCTTCAAATCTATTCATCTCGTTCTTCTGAGAAATTTTGTCACATTCGTTATCATTTTTTGATGTTGACATCTTCCCCATACCCATCCTACTGCATCGCGAAATTCGCCATTTCGGTGATTGGGAATCAAGCGTCTTTCGAGAAGTGACATTACCTGTTTTTAACTCTTCGGTTGAAATGATTTTCCTCCCCGGATTAAAATGAGCATCCACTAACGCATAATCATAGTTTCGTCTTTTCGAAATAGGTCTGCACTCTGAAGATTCTTCGGAAAGTGATAAACCTTGAAATAATTGTTTCTTTCGATTTACGAATGTTCCCGACATCGTAGATTTATTATCAGAATACTTATTTTGCATCTCATTGGATTCATATTTATTTTCTTCGACAGTACCGTCCTCCTTCTCTTCATCAACCTCTTCACTTTTTAAGTTAGCACAACTGGTGTTCGTATCCTCCCGATCTGACAAGCTACCAACAGCACTATGAAATGATTCCGTGTCCGAGTCTGCCATCCTAAAATTATACATAGCGTTAGTTTTGGAGATGGCAGGCATTACGAAAACTTCACGGACGGAATTAAACATACTATGAAGACCGCTTTAATGAAGCATATCACCTTGACTTTGAAAAAATTCCATTATTTTGCAAGTCTTGAATAAGTTACGGACATAACTCTTCTTCTCTTTCTCCGCTTTCTATTGACCTAAGCCAAATCTCCCATCTTAAATTTCCAAAGAACCAAACTTTCTTGATGGAAAAACTAACACAAATATACTACAATACAAGTCCTCCAACCGTAAAATACTCACCGGTCTGGGGCTGGAAACATTGAAATAAAATAAGTATATGAAAGTGGTGAGGTGCGGAATGTATTGGTTGCAGCATTATTAACATGTTCCAGTGCAAGGCTCACGTGTATTTCATTTATAGACGTCAATCTTTATAATGGCATGTCTTTGACAGAAAATGGAAGCAAAACAAGAAATTTATTCAGAGTTAGAACTTTAATCAGCAGAAATGACTAGAGCGAGGTGAAGTCGCGATCAGGCACTGAATTGTTTGAAATTATATCCGACAGGTTGCTCCTAGCGAAATTGATATTTATTGGTTTTAGCAGAAATATGGCATCATCAAGGTGGTAAAATGGCTGCAATATCCGCAATTAGGACTTTAGACTGTTCGTCAGATTTTCTGTTTAGAAAATTTCATTTCAATGTTGACTTTAACCTTGAAAAAGGCCATGATCTTTCGGAAACCTTATGATTTAAAAAACTAAAAATCTCTTCAATAAAGAAATGAAAGTAAAATGGGCTAAGGTAAGATCATACTTTTCTGAAATCTCCTTCACTTAAATAAGGTAGTTTACCCCATTTGAGCAATTCAAATCCTCTTGGTTCCAAAATATCTGCTACTAATGAACCCGCCTGCTCTTCGAACGTTCTACCTTTGATCGAAATTTCTATATCTAAAAGAACCCTGGGTTATTTAATTAAAATCATGAACAATATTTCCTGTATTTCAGTTAAAATAGTCAAGTTTACGAATGAGAATAACTTGCTAACTATTTTCAAAAATATCGCAAGATTAATTTAGCAGAAACCTCTGAAGGAAATATTGCACATGGTACCTGGTTGATTTGTACGACTTGTAGGATGGAATTCCACATACTGATGTAATGGTAAAACAACAGCCAACATCAGCAAAGATTCTGAACGTAGAGTGATCGCATGTAATTGAGCTAATAATAAAGATGGATTGTAATGACGATCTAGCAGATTAAGTGCAGAAACCAAATGATAGGTCTCAGAATGCTGACAGATATTCATCGGAATGACTCTGAATCCGCGTTGCTTCAAGCGCCATTCCATTACCTTTAGTAATAAAAATAAAAACCGAGAATTTCAAACGCTCAAAGATATACAAACTTCAGGAATTCCTCAGCTATCAAGTTCACTACCTTTTTCTGCAATTTGTAATTTGCATATTCACATACCATATTTAGTGTTTTTCTTGTCGTAATGTACTATTATCTAATTAGAATATATATCAAGAGTTTGAATCAAGTTAACGCTGAAATTATCATCGAGAGATTTAATATATTAATTAAATAAACAAGCCTGATTCGAAATATCACAAAGAAATTTTGAAATACCAACAAATACCGCTGAATTATTGAATTCACCTTGGAAGCTTCTGTAACTGAAATAGTCCTGTATAGTCGCCCCATTATAGCGGTTATTTGACCATCTCCAGCACCCAAATCCAGAAGCTGAATGAAAACATTTTCCTTGCCTCTTTAAACAGAAGTTACTTGCTAAGAATAACAATCCAAAAGAACTTCTAAGGTCACTCGTGAAATTCTATTAAAAATATTTAATAGTGTTGAATTGCATGGACAGTAATAAAGAAATGAAATTTAATGGAAAATTTTTACCTTTTTATCGTAAGAGATCCATTCAGCTGAAACATCCAAAAATTCTTGCAGTTGACTGAAGGAAAAAAGATGCATACCACCTCGACCCAGGACACCATTAATACTTGTTTTCGTCAGTATCACTGATAACAACGAAGTAACAAATGTATAATAGACCTCAAATTCATAAATCGCATCTTAAAAATCATAAAAAATTTCGGAAAAAATTGAGAACAATGTTAAGTTAGTCATAATCCGTTCAATGAAAGCAAATTTATGAATATATAGGCGTAGTTTCATGCTACTCTCCACATTATAATCATTAATCATAAGGATGAAGAAGTGGAAAAGCAAATCTAAAGTGAGGCATAATTAACTACTAAAAGAACTATTTTTTATCCCACCAGCCATTAGAATAATTTTTCTTTTCAAAATGTGAGATTTTTTTCTTCAACATTTCCTTACCAGAGACATCACTAATACTTCGTCAAAAATATCTTTTAAAAATCCTACTTTAATCGATTTTTTTATCATGTCTTTCAAAGTATAATGACAAGATGGTACCGAATATTAATCTCAATGATACCAAATATTAATCTCAATTATATCGAATATTAATCTGCTCAAAAAATAGATATATAAATGGCAAAGAGCAAATAAAATAAATGTAAAAAAAGGCATACCTGTAAACATAGTGAATTACTGATTTCAAGCGAATTGTTTAAAAATGTTTCCACATCCTCATCCATGTAGAATTGATGAAATTTTTTTAGCATGCACGAAGTTACGGCTGTCCTTGAAATCAAAAACATACATTTCCTATTCTTTTTGCTCAACTTACAATAAGTCGATTGTAAATTGGATTGGTCAAATTTTGTCACCTGATCTATAGATACATACCTGTCAATAGAGTACCATTCGGAATGATCACTAGTAAGCAATCGATCGCCAAATTCTTCCTTTTTCAACAACAAGCGTGCAAAATGTTGGTTACGAAACATTATAGTTAATGTCACTCATTTAGATCCCATTGCAGAAGCATAAAAATTCTCCTCATAGCTTGAAAATATCCACTCAAAGTCTCTTTCTGTAGCAGGTCAATGAAATAACAACCAGTTCAAACTTTGTCCCTTAAAAGCTTGACTGATTCCAATTTTGTAAGTTCGAATTACAATTTTACCAAATGAAATTATAATCTTTCTATCAATGTAAAACTGAAAAAATAAAATATCATATCCAATTCAAGCACAACTATACGTGTTACATTCATTTGAAAAGAAATAACACATCAATAGTCCATTTCAGACCTCAACTTTATGCAATCAAATTTTAATCTCATAAATTTGGATTTCAGTAAGATTTAGGAAAGAGCAATAAATTCCTATAAATTATTCAAATATAAATAAAAACTCCAAGCAGCATACAAATACTTCAATAGCAATACACAGTATAAATGTTGCTGGGACTCAACACAACCTTCGATATTTTGTAGAATTCCTCAAATCTCAAATCTTCAACGAAAACTGATAACAAACCTTAGAAAGTAAATATATATGTATATTTCATGATGGAAAGAAATGAGGTGCCAATATGAACTCACCACAAAAATAAAATTAAGCAAGCTGTGATACTCATCTGAAGGTGATAATGCAGCGTATTACGAAGATTATAGTAAACAGGACTGAAAGAAAAGGAAGATACACATATTAAGGACACGTCATAGTCAAGCAATGCTTCAGAGCAATACTTCAGCAGAAATTTCATCTCACTGCAGGTCAGTTTGAAGACTTTATTTTATAACTATTCAACCTAATTGTGAGTGTGTATCTCTTGTTACGTGTCCATCAGGTGTCCAGAAACACCTGATGTCACTACTATTCACAAAACCAACTACACTCCTAGCAAAAAAATCACCCCGCACAAATGCTTCACACGAAATCTTCACAAGCTATATGCAAATTACTTTTCGACCAGTGAGTTGTTCGAACATTGGTCGTTCATCTGAGAATACAAAGTAGCTCCATGATGTGTTTTAGGGGGGGATTCTCATGTATTTGATGGATGGTTGGGCTTCAGCACATTTTCCTGGTGAATTATGTTCGTGGAATTTCATATTTAATGGGCTATTTCGGTTTGACTTTGTTATCCAAATTTAAAAATCAAGAGTTGGATGTAACGAAATCTTCGTCGCGTTCGATTTATTTCATTTTTAATTATATTTGTTTCAAGTTGAATATTTAATTCCCATGTGCTAGATCTTGCAATGTTCCCTGGTTTTGCTTCGCAACCGTTTGATCCAAAATGGGTTATTTACATCAATCAAGCTATAATTCAAATAAAAAAATCCGTCGTTTGAAATCCGTCAAATTGCAAGCGAATTGATTAAATTAAGTGATTAAATTATCTGCAATCAGGAACAAGTCCATAATCTTTATATTCTTCCAGAGAAAGATCTATAACAAACGAGATTGGTAAAGTGAAGCAGAGAAGAGGCATTTGGCGGTATTTTCTGAAATGATCATAACAATCATCACACTGAGAATTCATGTTTTCCTGTAACATGAATGAACACCTGCTTTTAGTTGATTCATTCTTCTGTTCAGTGATTTTTAATTTTTCATCGTGACATCTATAGTTTGTAAAAGGAATGAGTCGTTCCTTCTTTCAGTTAATGATTAATTTATTCGGATTTTTTTCCTGATCTGTAATCAACCTAAATTTCTGACAATGAAAATGATCATAGCAAATCTCTAGTTATTTTGTAGTCTCGTGAGCGCATTTGAAAAACAGCTACGCATATGGACCTTTCAAAAGCGTTGTAGTTGTCAACCGCAAACTATTAAATTCCCCTTTCCTTCTATATTATTGCGTTAGTATCTGTTCTGCTTACGTGAAGCTTACGGAGATTAATTACATCGCGATAAAGTGTCACACATCGAATTTTATGTGAATTAAATATTTTTCAATCATGAAAATATTTGGTTCAATATAATGATTGTATCGATTTTTGAATTTTTTCCACTTATTTTTTTCCAGTCCATCAAGAAAGTCAGTATAATGCGGGTGGGTCCCTGTTATGTTTTTATCTCTCCCAAACAGTACAATATTTTAAGTGTGTGGGGAAGAAGTGGGAGAAAATAAGAACATCGGTTGGCTAAACGGGAATTCAAAAGGGATAATTTAAGGATGAATGATCGCGTTAGATTACTAAAAAATATAAAACCACTTTCCTCGGGTAAAAGATTGCAAATTAGATTCAGTAAAATATATAACATCCAAGCAAAAACAGGAAAATATGAAGCAATCGGCTCAGAATGGGGAATAAGTCTGAATTCATGGTATACGGTGAATTCTGTGGAAAAGTATGCGCAAATTCTGTGGAAAAGTATGCGCAAACAGTATTAAGAAAAAGTGGAAGGAGAGCTAAATCCTTCATCACCGTGCATTACTCGATGTTGGATATTGTTCTTCCTGAAGAAGATGAATGTGGTACTCGAAATAACCAATGGAAACTAGAAGGATCTTTATATTGTTATTATCAATCTTTGATTACATTGATGGAACCACACGTGAATCTATGATTACATTTCATCGTCAGCTGAGACGAAACTACTACGCTAATAATATTCCGTCGTTGTAATAATTATTATACTGCCTGAGGTGAGACTTTATACCTTGGACAGACTTACTGTCTTTAGCATCTTCCAATAATCTGTTGAAATTTAATATTTTTTATGTTCAAATCATTGATATGTGTTATTAGAATGTATCTCAAAATATCACGGATGACTTTGTATGAGGAAGTAAAGGTGGAATGAAAAAAAAATAATTCTCAATAAATAAGTGATTCGAGTAAAATATAGGAATTAGGTAAAATTAGAAGGGATTAGAGATGAGATAGGGAAAAAGAGCGAGAGTAAGGTAGCAGTACCAAAACAAATTGAACGGATTTTTCAAGTTCTTACGTTATGTATCCAAAGAAGGTGTTTATCCAAAAATATTTATGCCATGTGCTTCATTTGCTATTAAATTTTTTAAAACTTATCACAGAAATTGGGCAAGAAGTGTGAATAACAGCAGACGGAAAGGAAGAAAGACAAGGACGGGAACGGTTTCAAATTATTATTTGTGTTTGTTCGGTGGTCAAATGTCAGGAGATCATAGTAGCTCCACGATGAGATCATTTAGTCGTAGCAACTTGGGTAACTTGTACCAATCATTTATCAAACGCAAGAAATCGATTAGTACGAGGAAAAGGACAGGTAAAGTAATATCTTTCTTTCTTTCTTTTTGTTGAGAGGAATTTTCCCCTTAATCATTTTTTCGGCTTCTTTTATGATTTTTCTTGGTTGAACAATTTGGAAGATCTCATATTGATTTTTTTTTGGAAAGTAATTTTTTTTATTTTTGATTGAATGACTGGTAATAAACATCAATTTTTATTGGTTGTTTCGGGGATTTTTGGGCCTGCATTAAAATTTTCATTCCTATACCGTTAGCTATCTTCTCAGTTTCCTAATTATCGAAAATCCGTTTTGGTAGTTTTTGATGTTGGGATATAAATGGTTCTACATATTTAGTGTCGCATCATGAAATCTTTATGTGGAATCTTAAGAATTTACTGCCGTATCGCAATTGAAACCTTTCTTTAGTATATCATCAAAATTAAATGACATATTGCCACTGTATTGTCAGATGTGGTCCTGATAAAAACGGATATACGCACATGTCTTACCTCAATCAGATTTTTTCAACGATAAATTTTTCAAGATTCCCTCTGTTTTTTCCCGATTCTAAAACATTCTTCCACACTTTGCCAAATCCTACAAAATCCTAAATTACCTACTCATCGAAGAAGGCGAATGAAATAACGGCAAGGAATGGGAAAGGGAAGAAATGAGCCTTTCAGTTCTTTGTTTTTACATCTCATCATCAATTATTATCAGTTTTAATATTCTACCATTTTTTTTCATAGATCAAACAATCCATCCATAAAATTTTCTAATACTAAAACAAATGTAGTAGAAGATATTAATTGTAATTTAATTTTTGAAATATTAATGACGTAGATTGGTTAAATCGTTGACAAATAAGCAGTTAATAGCTATCTATCCCATGATTTTGTTCTTATATAGAAATTGGTGAAATAGTTCCGGCATCAATTTCCTGAATTGGTAATACTTATAATCATTGTAGGACCTACTGATAAATAAAACATTTTATTATAAATGAATCTGAGATTCGTTAGACGGGATATTAAACCTGTCCTATGATTCGACAATTGAGGATAGTGCGCCTTGAAAATCTATTCAAACAAATACCAAGATGATTTAAAACAGATTATTTATGGAAAATAAAGCACATTAGAAGCATCCCTCACATTTTCTCCCCATTATAAATCCTTCAGTTGGAAAAAGCCATTTGCTCATCGATCAGCAAAAGTCTTGCTCATTTCAGATGCGCATATAACTGCAATAGGGGTTAGAGACAAGGAACAAGCATCGTTCTTACTATTACCCACAATATCCACCATGACTTCATTGCCAGATGTTGAGTATGATGAAACTGGACCTAGCAGCATAGAACTTTCTACAACACCCATACCACCAATATCATCTGCCTTGCAACGCACAGAGTCTAGCACATTTTTTTCGCGACTGAGTGGTCGGTTACGACGTTCACTTCATTTGCTTTCAAATAAACGTGAGCGACCCGTGAAGTTTCTAGCCGGTAACGAGGTGGAGGTCAATGAGGATGTGAGACCATCATTACTTCACGAAAACGGAGAGGTAAGGTTTTTGTTGCACGGTTAGTTAAGTCAGCATCGTTAAATAAACCATGAATCAACAACTGTTACGAAAATTATTGAGTAAATTTGAAATATTGACTGGTTCATATTTTGTGTAAAATTTTGCCCTCTCAATATGACAGTGAAACTGGCTAAATATCAGTCATTACCTGCATTGAAAACTACAATATAGCAATAGTGGATCCGTGAAATGAGCTGCGAAGATATGAATTAAAACATTAACGGTAGGTATAAATTGAAACATCAAACATTCAAGTCATACATCAGTAACATTGACAATGTTGACTGTTATTGTCTATCTTTGGAAAATTCAGTTATGTATGAAATTTATGAGACATTAAGTGTCTTTCCATATAGCATTTTGTCTGCAGGAGACATTCACGAATTATGCCAGTATCAAAATTGTTAATTACGACGAATCAAATGGTGATATTAAGTTGGTCCGACAAATCCTACACCGGAATCGATCCGATGAAGTAAGAGTATCGAGTGAGCAGTAAACAATCGCTGATCATGATAAGTCTAGCTAGGTGTAGATTAAAGTGAAGGTTGAAAGGATGTGGAAAGATAATAAACGCTTGACCCTGCTCGATATCTGACTATTCATCATAGGCCTTTCTGAGAACAGTCGATTTTGTCAATCATAGGACACAATATTTTGTCAGAAAGTGGACGATTATATGGTTGGTGGATTCGTACATGCGATTTCAATTCAAATTTTCTTTCTGATTTCAGATAAAGAAATTGCTTAGAAAAAAAAATTGGCCAGTGGGACACAGAATACGAGCAAATTTGTGGCAAGAAATCTGTAAATTAAACAATCCAGATTTTAATGCGCACAAAGGTAGTTATGAATCTGAAGCGCAGGAGGAGGACGTCGGTGATTTTTTCTTAATTTGAGTTGCTATGCTGGAATTATATCAAATGCATCTTTTATGTAGCAAAATATATCAATAATAAATATACTAATATAATAATAATATATATACTACGTCCGGAAATGTAGTACCTAAGAGCAGTTCTTAGCGTGTTGTGATCTATTAAGAGTTGGATTGCTAGGCCTTTGTATAGCTAAAACAATTGGAAATGGTTTTTTTGAAAGTTAATTCAGATTTGTTTAGGACATTTTTCACCAAGACCTCGTTTTCTGTTGTCTCCGGATAATATACATAATTGTTATGAACTGAATGCAAATGGTATAAAAGCACTTCATCGTCTCATTCATGTCTTAGATGCTACGATTCCGACATTGAATTATGCACCTGTTAGTGTTATATCGATTTTTATTTATTTGATTTGCTTGAAGAGAATATAAACCATCTTTTAACTACTTAAAACCTTGTTAAGTGGACTAATAATAATATTTTTTTAACTACAGCTTTTTTTGTAGTTGGTACAGCCTATACTTGCATTATTTTTGCATTATATGAGTGAGGATGATGCGTACGCTTGTGTCTTTTGGATTCTTAAAAATCATTCAAATTATATGAAAGGTTCTGCTCAGGCAAGTAAAGCTACATCGTATACACTGCTTGAACTTGTGAAGATCCATAAGGTATGTTTTTCTCACCCTTTTTTTCTCTCTCTCCACTTTTGATTATTAAAATTAGCTGAAATATTTCATCCTTAGCATTTTTATCACTTTTGTCTTTTTATCTGAAATTGTAATTTTTTTCTTAATTTGTTGGAATTTTCTGTTTGCGGTAACAGTATCGGTGCATGATAATATGTTGATATATCGACTTTCGTTAAAAGTTACTGGGTGCCAAATTTTTTTATCTACTTTGTTCATTGATTAGGTTGGAGTTAATTGAAACCGACAGACTTTGAACAAAAATACCCGATATTGTCATAATAAGCGTACATAGACTAACTGTTTTAACTTTTCTTTTTAGACAGCAGTTTACAGAACTTTGAGAAATTGGATTGGATCATCTGATGCAAACATTCTGTCAAGAGCTTTGCAAAATTGGCCGAGATGGATATTTTGCGCCTTGCCATTTGAACATTTAATTTGTGTTATTGATTGCTATTTGTATGAAGGAAGCAAAGTATTAATGAGAGTTGCTATCGCACTGCTTAGTATATGGCACAAAAACGTTAAAGTTGGTTTTATATGTTTTATATATCTGGGATATTTCCTAAAAGTTATAGGATTGCCAACAAAGTTCTGCCAAAACTAGGTAGTTAGCTTCTTGGGAGTTATATGGAAACTGCGGATGATAAAGTGCATATGGAGAGCTTTGATCACGAACAATTCTGTAAATTCTCTTGCAACTACTCGATTAATTAAATAATGCTTGAAAAATTCATTTTCCTGACAGCACTGAAGATTTTCACGACTGCAATTTACGACTCTTAAAAAAATTCTTACCTACAGATACCGGATGATTTGGCCGATAAAACATGCCAAGAACGGATTGATTTGTTTGCGGAAATGATTGTTCAGAGTGTGAATAATGAAAATATTTCTGTTGCAGCTCTACTTGAAGCTGCTGTAAGAATTCGGAATTTTAGTGGCGCAAAAATTGCCCGTTTTCAGGAGAGACACGAGAAGATGGTAAATTTGTTTTTTTTTCTTTCATGAGCACAGTACAAATCAGTTAGTTTTTCTATTTTTATTCTTTGTTCAATATGGCGGATTGCGGACAGTAAATATATGATGACACTAAGAAGCAGAACTAGTAATATAAAAGTGCAGACCTAAGATTTCGAAGATTTTTCAAACTAAAAAAAGTCTAGTAAATTTCAATACTTAACTTGGTCGGTTTTGAAGATATTCTCTCAACTTTTCTACTAAACCAAGAAGCTGAAGGTTCTCAAAAGGAAGAAACAAAACAAAAAATTCCCACCAATTAGGAATAGCCATGGAATAGACGAAATGATTCTCTTCATTTAAATGAAACCGAGCAGAACAAAGTCTTTTTGTAATAGCTAACCACAGTAGATGAAATTACAACCCGCAACCCTTTCATTGTCATGAAAGATATTGCATACATTTTTTGAACGAGATTTGAGATGCATGCATCCATACGTAAGTACACGAGATAGCTATTTCATCTATTTGTTTGTTTGCTTTGTGCTATGCATAAAGATGTCACAGTGTTTAACTGATAATAGCATAATTTGTCCATTTTATTCATGCGATGTTGTCATTTTGAGGTAGTATTTATATTTTTAATTCATCACAGTGCATTTACGGAGCCACTTTTTTTCGAATTTTATTATGAGAAATGATTTGCAGATGCCTGTTTTCAGATTTTGCAGTCAGAAGGTCCCGATCTTGCAGTAGTAGATTTGCCGGCCGCCCATATAAAGCCCTTCATTTCAAGCATTGTTTCATCAGAAGTTGCTTTTCAATTAATGTGTCATTTGCCGGAAAAGTATCAATTAATAACTCCGACATTAATTTACCACCTTTACGACGATGGCACCTCATTTTATCGTTTGTGGACGAAGTGAGCGAATATTTTAATTTTAGCATTAAGTTATTAAAGCCGCAGAAGTGACTGCACATGTCAAGTTGTTCGCGTTAATCTTCATTTATCATCGGGATTAAAATTCAACTTTCGTAGAATCGATGAAGCAGAATCAACGTTGCTAATTATCAAGACGGGCAAAAGTGAAGTTTTGGGAGCCTTTTGTGATGAGCCATGGGGAAATCGAACAAAGATACGTGAACGTGGAAGTGGAAAGTATTTTGGCGGCGGCCTTTCGTTTGTCTGGAATTTAGATGAAAATAATCAAGTGAATAAATATGATTGGAAAGAAAATCAAGCGGAGTGTTTTATGGCCGCGCCATATGATCGCGAGCCTACTATTTTAATGGTATGTTGTTTAAAGTTTCGCTTTGTTTTTTGGTGTCAATTATTATGCTTTATTTTTTTGATTCTAAAAATGTGGCATGTTGTGAGCTTATGAAGCTTCTTAACTCCTGTGTCTTTCTGCTCCTACAGGGATTATCGAAAGAAGCGCCAACCCATCTATTCATGAACTAACTGAATTTTTTCTAACTGCTTGAGCAGCAGATTGAATTGATTCATTAAATATAATTAATTTTTCCTTTTCCTTTTAACTAGCTATATATATTTATATATACTTGGTTGACTTAGCCGATCTTTCTTTCAGAGTTGTTTCAGTGAAAGCCTCATTCTACTGTTTTAATCGAATAAATTTTTTGTGCCAATCATTTTCTGGTTTATAGATCGGTGGTAATGCGATATATATTGTTGATGAATTAATAAAGGGCTCAAGCTTGCCGGGCAATACCTTTGGAAATCCAGAACTGGTGAAGGGTGGTACATTTAAAATTTATGATATGGAGGTAATTTGACGATTGCAAAGTCTTTAAATGTTGACAGGAAAAATTTAGAATCTAAAGAGCAAAAAAGTAAAAGAAGGCTTCTGTTTTTCAGGTATTTCAAATATTTGAATAAGAATCGAAGATTGAAAAAAAAAGTCAAAAGTGGAAGTGCGGAAGATTTCTAAAACATGTCGCTGAAGCATGAGAATACAAATCTCTTTTCCGTGATCAATTTTTTTAACTTTTGAAATTTTTCATTGCTATTAGTTGCGTGACATTTTCTAGTAATCAATTCTAATAAATACCTATTTAAGAAGATAGCAAATAAAATGGCAACTTTCAATGTTATCAAAGCACTACTTCCGTGTTACAAGGTTGTCTCAAAATCAGAGGTATTTATTAGATTCTTTTTTCCCGCCGCTTTCATTTATAGTCCACCTAAATACTTAGATATATAATTAAAAACCTTCCTTTTTCCGGTAGGATTAGAAGTCAGTACAAAATTGGTTGTTCTTGTTTTTTATTGGACATTGGGAAGTTTGAAATAAATATTTGATGTTCTTTATTTTCAGTTTTTCTAGGACTGTTGACGAGTCAAATTAATTTACGGTGTATTTAATGATCTTTTGCTGAGTTGATTTGTATTGATGGCTGTATTTCGAGTATTATAATTTAATATTATATCTGGTGACCATTGTTGATGTCCAAAAGTTTCCGTTAAATTTTGATTTTGTATTAGCTTTGCACTGATGACAAAGATTATTTATTGCTTAATGACATTCCATTTATTTACTCTGCCACGATTCTGTTCCTGATGGCGCTATATGACCAACAACTGAGCAGAATAATAAATTGGTCCACCTGTTATTTGATCATGTTTTTGTTAGGAAGAAAACGAATAAACAAATTACTTGATTTCAAATTGATGTATTTGTGAATCTGTTATGGTCGACAGAGCAATAAAATTTTTTGATGTCAAAAATTTCCATAGCGAAAAAGAAAATTGAAGGGGATGTGGTGCAAGATAGCCTAGCAGTTTTTGGATTTAAAAGTTCCGGTGATGGTGCAAGATTCAATTGAGTTTGTATCAAGTTAATGTCTCTCCTAGTCGATCAATTTTTAGGTGATAGCGCTGCCGTAATGAAGGATCTGATTCTTTCAAAGGCTAATCAATTATTACATTTCGTATTTCCAAACCGATGTTACGAATTAATGCTTTTGAAACATGACTTTCTTCACCGTAAGTTTTCGATATCTTTGTCCATGATAGACGATACTGTGGTAGGACGCTTATAGGGAAGACACCAGAGAACTCTGAACTTGTCAGATTAGTGAGAAAAATGGATTAAAAAGCTTCCCTAGTCGAATGGTCATTATCGAATTCTGAACTGCTGCGAGTGTAGAAAGCTTGCAATGGACAGAGAATAGAAAAACAGGCATCAATAATGGAACTTACTTTACAAGCCGTAATGAATCTTTGTGAACCAGTTAGTCATCCAATCAAGAAAGCTTAAAAGTTGTCATTGGTTCCAGAAGAATGTATATCAATGGTTATGTCGCGACTCCTTGGACTTGGTATAACTCTGGGATCATTGCTTATATTTATACCACAAATTTTAAAAATTCAATTTGCACAGTCGGGCGAAGGGATTTCATTGTCATCGCAATTGCTGGGACTGTTTGGCTGTTTTGCAGTAACATCTTACAGCTACACAAAGGGATATGTTTTCAGGTTTGTTTTTAGTTTAATTTTTGTTTTTTAACAAACTGTGCTGGCGTGTAAATCCATTTTAAAATTAGTTTCGCAGACGGGTACTAAGGAGGGTAGTTATGAAGCAGATAATTCGTGTGGGGAAATGCACATTATTGGTTAGTTTTCTGAAGAACCACTGACAGAACCCATTATCATCTGGCAAGAACCATGTTATTTGGGATTTATTAGGTATCACTTCAAATGACATATTTCTTTGTGCAAGAGGAAAAGGAAAGCATTAAATAGAATTGCTGAAACTAATAGAAATATTGGGACTTTTATAAATAATAACTCATAACTGATGGGAACTACAATTTTAACTGCTTGAAAAAAATCCCTAGGAATAATTGGAAAAGCAGACTTTTACTCAGTAATGTACGCCAAGTCAATATCCCAGTCTAATCAAGCAAACTCGAAATGGTCAAGTAATAATATCGTTTTTCTTAAATGCTTACTAAGTAATGTAAGCCAAATCTGACATGAGTTACTAATTAGCAGATGGTTGGCTTGTTCACCATTACAGATCCTTTCCATTTTTTTTTGTTGCGTGTTTGCTGAAAAGTGGTTTAGGTTGTTTTTTCCAGTAATTTATTGAGGGTCGTTGTGGATTATTAAATTCATGTTATGCTATAACTCGTGTAAGTGCATTATTTCAGTCAGTGGGGTGATTCATTTTTCGTGACAATCCAAATGATCATAATAATTATCCAAATTTTATGGTTTTCATCACGTCAAACACACGCAGCAATATTCCTTGCATTTTGCTGGACAATTAGTTGTGCAGTTATGGGTCAATACATTCCAATTGATGTGTTCGCATTGCTTCAGGCTATTACTATCCCAGTTGTTATTATAGCCAAAGTAAGCTTTAGGGAGTTTTTGTTAACTTCTGATGGCCTGCATGAAATGCCTCCACGTCTTTGATAAGTTGTATAATGCTTCAGTGAAGATTAGGACATTAGCTATAGCTCAATATTATGGATCATATAAGTGAGAGTGAGTTCATCGCGTCAGTATTTAGAATTAAAATTTTTTTTCCTGCTTTATTTAAAAAATGTTGCACGAGATCCGAATCAAATATTCCAACCGTGGTGTAAAGAAATTAACGATAAAATAATATTAAAGCGAAAAGAAGCATACTTTTGGAGGCTATGGATTAATAGAGACAGCATGACAAGATGAGTCCGAAGCATACTTTTGGAGGCTATGGATTAATAGAGACAGCATGACAAGATGAGTCCGATATCAGAATTAGAGACATTCAAAGGCGTATTTACGTCTTCACTAGTATCCACTTGGCAGAAATTGGCCAAACAATCATAATAATTCAGTAGACAACATTATTTGCTTCATTCACTACTTCATATGCTTTTCCAGTTTCTACAAATCCGGGCAAATTATCAGCAGCAGAATACCGGCCAACTATCGATGATTTCAGTATTCCTCCAGTTTGCAGGATGTTTGGCCCGAATATTTACTTCCCTACAGGAAACTGGTGATCAGCTTGTAATTATCAATTATATTATCGCCACTTTACTAAATGGCATAATTTCTTTTCAATTTCTTCTCTACTGGAGCAATGTGGAGATGAAGAAAAAGGTGTCTTGAGGCACATAAACACTATCAGTAATTAGATAACTGCATTATATAGCATTATGAATGCATTATATGAATGCATTAATAGCATTATGAATGCTAATTTTGTTTCGCTTATTAATTTTTAATAGAACGGATAAAAACCGATATTGCGCTCGTCTTTGGTAAATAAGTGATTGCATGCTTCATATCCAGCAATTATTGGAGGACTTTCAAATTATTTTTCTACTACGTAAGAATTTACTGCAAGTGTTCCTGAAAAGAATCACTATGTTCACTTCCGCAGTATCGTTTTAAATTAAATATTCTATCGAACTTATCAAATGTCCTAAATTATTAAGTGCTTCAAACCTGTTAGGTGTCCCAGCTCACCGACTACTTTAAATCAATTTCAGATTCCGTTTCCAACGGTATAGAACTCATTAAGAGATAATACATTATACAAAAGGAAATATCATGCTAGTTCGTAATCAATAGTGAACAGTGGCACCAGAAACGGTGCAGTAGCATCAGGAGTGATTTTTCAACATATCATATTAACAAGATGATGTTGCCGTATTTAGCTGAGAACTTGAGGAATAAGTAGTCGTCTCTTGCTCACTGTTTGCCTTCGAATTAATTGGCTGAGGGTATGACAAATGCTTCATGCATTTAAAGCAGTAAGCACACATTAAAATTTCTCCCTAAAAGAGGAAAACTAGTGTCAAGAAATAGGAAAGAAAGAAAAATTGTTTATATAATTGAGAAAAAAGACTTTGCTCTCATCATGGACTACGTCGACTTCGAATTATCCTTGCAGACACATATGTCGAACTCTTTAGGAAGTTTACCACCGTGATTGAATGATGTAGATAAAGTGACGGCATATTTAGGATTATGGCCCATAAAAGCTTTAATGGGGATTGTTACGAGCTTATTATTCAATGGCCACGCGAATTCATCCCTCCGACAAACATTCACTATCGGAATCAGTATTATTAATACTCCAAGCCCAGTTGGTATTTCATGGCTGGTAAACTGCCTTTTTTACAGTGGTATTTTTCATTGATGATACTCTGCACACTAAAATTAAGCCAATCTATCGGCCGTATTAGTCAGAACTGTTATACTTGTATTGTATACTTTAGGATGTGTTGTTAGACATATACCTGTACGTTCATTAACCCAACTCATTGAATAGTTTTACCGAAACAAACCGAATGATGGAATTGGAGAGAGTTTTTGAATTCTTTTTTGGCTTTATGATTACACAGAGAAGGATTATATTGACCTTTTCTAGATGTCGGAACCAAGCAAAAACGTGTAAATGGAAAAATAGTTCAATTGTTTCATGTGAAAAACTTTTAGATTTAACTGGTGAATAATGGCATTCCTGAAACGATGGTGTTTCACGTTCGTTGACTATTGGAAAATGGTCGGAAATGATTATATGGTAGTCATTGGAGATTTATTGCAAGATACGAAAAACAGACCAATCATAGCTGTGATCAAACTATTGCCATTGAGTGGTGCATTTTATGCTTATAAGACAAATCCGACAGAAGGGTATGTTCACCTATCCAAAAAGTTTTGCACGTTTATATACATTTCCTACGCGTGGTTTAATACTTTACGATCGTGATTTTTAGCGTCTGAAAATAGATATATTCAGAATTAATGGTGCTTTGTTTTTTTATTATTTGAAATATGCATCCTCCTCCGATGTTGTGTCATATATATATTAATGCTGTCCATCTATATAGTTAACTTAATTTACATATTTTACATTTTCCATATAAAGTTTCTCGGAAGAAATTTTATGCATTTTAATACTTCAACTTTCTTATAGGGACATGCTCAATTCGCTAGTAGAAAAAAGGCGACAAATGGTACTTGTACCAAATTCAATACACAGTAAAAAAGCGGACGATGAAATTGCATCGCGTACGTTGTACATAAATCAAAATCGACTGAAACTTATTAATTGCATTGTGTTTTCCATCCTCATCAAGCCATCTGATAGCGATGACGTAAGACGGATTATTCCAATACTTTTACTGTAATATTCTTGCAATTTTTTTCAGAATGTGTCTTATGTTCCCCCCATTATCTTTCAGTTTGTTATATAGTTATTTCAGTGTGAAACAATTCTCATTATTCAAATTCATGAGTTTCATTAAACAAATATTAATAATATTGGGATAAGATATTCGAAAGTTTTGGAAATCTAATGGGAAATTTATGTTATGCCAAATACTGTGTTGCACTCGAAATGAGATATCTTATTGATGAAAGTAAAAGCACACGACACAATGCCTATAATACAAGCAATTATTAAACGATTTCATAGAAAAAATTGGGAATCCGTGGATTTACCGAACACGTTGGATTAATTTCCAGAATGATCTGATAAAGAAATAAGTGTAGAAAACTTCATCCTAAGAATAATTAAATTCCCACTAACATTTGCTACATTTGCAGGTATGCTTGTACGAAAATCGAGTTTCTATTCTAAGACGATGGTGGTGGAAGCGGTACAATGATATCATTGATATTGGCGCTTTCAACAATTGGTTTAAACTTGGGAAAAGTTGCGAAAATTATGATATCAACGATAATGAATTTAATAATTCTGTTGGCAAACTTGAATAAATGTTCAGTAATGACGTAACGCTGCCAAAACTCTTGTAATAAAAATATTTCATGTAAATTTTTGATTACCAGCAGTTGTGCATGACTATATTCAACTTATTTTTTCAAGTCCGAAGAAAATAATTCTCCTTACATGTGAACACGTTCATCTCATAATTAAAAAAAGACAAAAAATTATAAATTGAGAGGTGGAGATCATTTCATAGTCTGAGAATTGCCATTTTCTTCCAGGTCAGCACATCGAAAATCAGTGCATGCTGTTATTGCACGCGCAAGATCGGCCATGGATTCTGGTGACGGCCATCGATTGGCGACGGTAGCCGCGGCACTAAGTAAATTCTCTGAAACGCCTGTAAGACAAATTTATGTTCACTCCACAGTTCAATCGAAAGCAGAAGCATTGATTGGGCAACATGACGCACAAGCTCGCCCACTCTCGCAGCTTTTGTTTTTGAATATTGACCATTATGTTAGAAGGGTTTTGATATCAAACTGGATATGTCCAAGTAACGAAAATGAATGCATCTTTCGTCTGCATATTAGAGTCAGTGTTAATACGAAGACTATTTTTCAAAATGTCTTATGAAGATTTGTGAAAGATTCTGTTTAAATGAATTGATAATGGTTCCGTTATAAAATTTGAAATTTTACTATCATTATCGGGTTTTATATGAAAAGAAGAAATTACATCGAGATGCAGTTATGAATTCCGGCAGAAATGACAACGCATGTAGACTGATGTCGGCACTTTTGTGTAACAACGCAGCAGAATATGCACTCATGAAATGAACACTCATCTATAAGAAAAGAAAGCCTTCGGGATTTCTATTTCATTTATCAACTGCTAATATAAAGAGACGAAACCTATAGTAAAATCCTAATTTCTTCCGATAATCAATAGTAATAGCTCATTAGCATCACTCATTTTTTGCATTTGCATTTGTTTTTTATAAGCTGCAGGTAAAACTGCAAAATAATTCTTCTGAAAAAAAATTTAAGACTAACAAAGTAATAGTCGAATAAAATGAGAGGAAAATGACATACAGATGGATTCGAAGAGATGTAATTCAACGCACACTGATAAGCCAAGCTTCGAAGCGGACGTACAAGATCGGTAAATGCGCTTTGAATGAGATGCATGAATGGGGCTATACGATCCGGCGATTCAGTCGTGGTGGCGCGAAGCTCATCGAGCAGTACAATGCGGTCGCATGACGTTTCCGCTGTTTCCAATCTGGATAGTAGTGATGCGCTCATGATGATGAATTCGAAAGCCTTGAACTTATATTATTTAAGTTGGAGCAAATATACTGTCACTATCCTTCATATAAAACCATAATCGAAATACATACAAGTCTTATTGAAAGATGAGAATGCTAAAAATGTAGACGTAATCGTGGTTAACCAGCATGAATTACGGACAATACAACTGTTCTCCCCTTTGCCGACAAAAACAATTCTGCGTGTCTATATTTATCATCTCGGTTATTCATAAATTTTGCATTTTAAAATGAAATTTCAAAACTTAGCCGTAGATAAATCTTTTATTATAAATTAATAATGGAACACTAAGCTCGTTCAGGATGACACAAGGAGATGGGACAGTGGGAAAGAGAGAAAGATCAACTCTTGAAATTCAAAAACATCCACTTCTTATTCCAAATCTTTCTCAAAACTGAACAAACGGCACAATAAGATAGGATAATTTAATAATAGAACAATAAACTAGCTCAAGACGTTACAAGGAAAAGATAAACTTATTGTCAAGTAATATCCATTTATTTCAAATTGAAGACCAATTATACCGAAGTCTGAAGCTAGAATAATTTGAGAAATCTGGAAAAAAATCGGAAAGCTTCGCATTAATGCTATATATTTCCGTCCTGTTCTTTATGCCCTCACTATCCAGAATTTTTCTAACTTTATTAAAATTTGCTTGAAAATTAAATGAAATTTTCCAGTAGCGGCAAACATCACATGCAAGACAGCAAAGAATGAGTTTGACGAGAGAAATGTACAATGATAACGTTTAACCCATTAATACAAATGGTATTCCTTTTCAACTTAAAAATAGAAAAAAAATTTGAACCAATAGACGGCAACAGAACCAGATGAAATGATAAAACAAGCCTTCAAAAATTCATATTTATCCATCTAGACATTGCAAAGGTTTATACATTGCAAAATACTTTATATTTTCGTAAATATTATGTTGGTTACAATTCACGTTAACAATTTTTTAAGAATCCAAAATGTAAATTTTTTAAGTTTTTAAATTCAGATTAAAAAGTTAAAACATTATTCCTCTACCCTGTTTAAATACATTATTGCGTCAATCAATATTTTCGAGGAAGGTGACTTCAAACATAAACAAAGCTGCTTGATTGCTTCGATTTGTGTTAGGAAATATGATTTTGCTGATTTTGCATTCAACTCCAAATAAGCAACACACATATTCTGTAGTACTTGAGCCAGCGGTATCCATGTTCGTCCACATCCAACATTCTGCAATACTTTCATCAACGAAATGTTTTGCAAGGTATGTAAAACTCCTAAATTTATGATTAAATATATAAATAACTTGCCTAAACTCCTATTCAATCTAATTTCGAATTTATTTGGAAATAGCTAATTCGTTCATTTTTAAATAGTCATTTCAATTTTTTCATCACCGGTACCATGTAGTCTGCTAGTACTTGATAGAGAGCTACAAAAATCCACTATCATCACAATCAAATAAATGTCAAAAAGTTGATTTAGATGTCGTAACTGTCAGACTTTTCAATGACATTGCAAATACACGGCTATATAAGTATTAAAATGATGTCAATTTTCTATCAAACATTTTCCACTGTTACACTTAATATGAGCGACAGTGGCAACGATAGCAGCAAAGAATAAAAAGAGACTTCAAAAAGAGTGAAAAATGTTTGCATAATAGATTGCAGACGATCAGCTTCTTCGAAGGACTGTGGGGCCAAATCTAATAACAATTTCGGGATATACTGTAATAAGGACTGATAACTGTTTGTTCGTAATTGTCGTGCTGGAAGTTGCGCAACTGACGCTAAACAGGCAGACAACAACGGTAAATGTCTGAAATAACATTATTCTGCTTTTCGATAGCATAAAATCATTGAGTTTATATTTCATAAAAATTACTCACTTCATGGATTTCTATTGCACAGAAAAAAATTCAATACTTATCAGCTTATTTGTTTAAGAGAAGTATAGCTCTAATTTGAAACTCAACTATAGCAGCAGCAACAACTAGAATTGTAAAAACGAATCTACTATAATAAGTAGTAGTATTTGCACGACAAGTGAAATTTACCGACAATAGAGAACAACATTTATGTGCTATTAAATTGATGTCTTTTTTGCTCTCTACCGTATAAACAAATTTGACTTTCTGTGCTGAGCAACTGGAACTATAAAGAAAACGAACATGATTGAAAAAATTCTGAATTAACTAACTCCAACCTTAATACAACACATGGTTGACTACGCGCAATTTGCGCCAATGCACTGATCTTGTGATCCATTGAACAGGCAGGCGTAGCTGCAGCAGAAAATAATTCCACAATAGCATTATGGACTGTCCGATCTTGGACGCAAATAGAACGATATGCTTTGATCACTATTGCATCGTTTTTCAGTCGAGCATCTGAAATGCATTTAAAAAGTGCTAAAAACAATAGTTATAACTAACAGAATTCTTATAACCCTACTATGTTTTCTCCTTTATGAGATTTTATGACCAATGTTGCATGAATCTACAGAAATGATCCTGAAGAAGCTCACAATATTAGTAGCAAACCAGTCTCAAATGATGAGAATTTTGTTTTTCAAAACAAATTCAATAAAAAAAATTTTAATTTGAAAAAAAATCAAGAAGCCTTGACACTGAAAATAAAAGGAGTAAATTTTGGTGCAGTTCGAAAATGAACTATAGTGAATCAAACATCACCTGGAAAACGTTTCACAAAAGCATCGGCTATCTGTTGGGCGAAATGTTTCCGTTGAATGTTATCTGGCGAAATTAAAACACGCGAAATCTCTGCTATCATTCCTTGCGTTAAGTCGCCTAGAAACTTTTGGAAACTTTGAAATGATAAAAAAAATAATATATTCGTTATTTCCAGTAGTTAGATTTAGTCAAAGGAGACTTTCAAATTAAATAAAAGATTCAAATTTAACAAATAGGAAAGCAATAAAATATAACACATCGATTTCAAATCGATATTCGAGAATCGCAATGAATGACATACGTCGAATATTTGCGTTATTTTCTAGAAATTTTATTAACAACGTTATAACATCATCTGAATGACAGTCCATTTCGGCCAGAGCATACTGGATAAAAACACGGCATTGGTCGGTCGAAAGTACATAAGTTTTAGAAGTACGAAAAGCACTGATAACAGTTCGTATCACTGACATGCCTGTAAATCTGCAACGAAATGACTTTACAGTATAAGAAGTGCGTTTTTCTTCTATGTCAAATTATGCAACACAACAGACCAAATTAACACTGACAACTTACAACCTTCTACAAAAATTCTATTGAATAAGCTGAGAATCAGTCACCGCCACAAGAGACACATGAAACTAATTATTCAACCATTTATTTGATCAAATTCGCAAGAAACACCACTAATTAGATAGAATCGTATTTCTTTGTTTCAGAAAAGAACCAGTGATAGGAAAGAGAAAAGGAAATGAGAGATGAAAACGCTAAAAAAATTAAAATTATAATTTAGCAAATTTTAACTCCAAAGACTAGAGAAAACTTACTGAGACCGATATGATTCGAGCAGATACTTAATTATTTTACCCAAAGTGGTTGAAGAACATGCTGTCGGTAGCAATGAAATGATATATTGTAATGTTGGTGTTTTAGATGAGAATAATATTTCCAGTATAGTATGTGATTTAATACCAAGATCACCATCATCTTTATGGGGTAATATCTCCGGACATGTGTCCAGAAATCTTTCCATCAAACGACTTTGCATATCATCCTGTGATAAATAGCTAACTTTTATATAATATGTAACATCATACGTTATGCGCATAGAGATAAACTATGGATGCTTTTGGAGGTAACACAAACAGTTATATAAGCAGAAAAAATTATGTGTGAATAAAGGGTCCACTGAAATATATTTAATATCTGAACTTCCCATTAAAATATTTTACAATAAATATCTTACAACTAACCATTCCAACAGAATTTGCCAGACGCATGAGGATACTTTCCAGATCATATGTGTCATAATTTGGCGAGCGTGGACTTTCTGTTTCGATCGCATATTCTGCAGATTTATATTTTTAAGCCGAAAAAATTTTTTAAGGAAAAATAATATTGAATTTAGCACGGCGGACATTATCTGATGATAGGATGAAAGAGGTAAATTATTGAAAGTCGAACTTCAAGTAACTGAACGAGAAATTAGCAATAACATATACCTCCACCACGACTGTATAAAATCCTGCGTACGGATTCTGGAATATAAAGATTCGATTTGCTGAACACATTGTTGAACAAGGAATCAAAATCATTGATTAATGAAGCATCCTAAAATATTGACAATGAATCATATCTGATTAGCTAATTGCTTGATTAATCCCACTTCCCAAAGCTACAGATTGCGGAACAGGAATTCTCAAAATTGTAGTGATCGAAGCAGTAAATCAGTCTACTCGTTCAAACAATTTATGTCTACAAAAGTAATAAATTCACCAATTAGCATTTTTACTGTTAAATTGGAGGCAATTAACATCTGTTAAATGCGTGCAAAAAATAAGGCTGCTCACTAAATATTTGTTAAAAGTCATAAAAAATTTATCTTGTTTCTCGAAATGACAAGCGAGATCAGTAATGGTATAGCAATTGTTGCATTGGATAATATAGTCGGCTTAGCTTTTAACAAAGAAATAACAGCTCGAGAACATTCCAAGTTGTTTGATAGTTCAAAAATTACTGATGACCATTTTTCCGGCTCGCTGCCTTTCTGGACTGCCTTCAAAATGGTGAAATTCTTTATATGTGTTGACCTATTTTTTATATATCGTCTTCATCATACTGTAGGAAAAAAAAACTTCCCGCTGTACCCAAATATACACAACATTGTAGTAAAATGCAAAATAGAATAGCATGCATCCTTCGTAATATCACTTTCTGCTAAACGATAGGTACGTTGACAAAATGTACTTTGATAAAAATTTGATTGTCGTATTTTTTGAAATTTTCTAAGAATAAGTAATTTGAAATATGAGAATAAAGAGAAAAGAAAACGGAATTTTTACCCGTTCAATGCAACTGATTACTTCCTTGACATTCATATGATTAAATGTTATTCGCTTCACATCAATATCATCTGCATCGAATAAAGTTGGCGCTGAATTGAACTTTATACAGATATCATTTTCATCGACTTCCATTTTTACACATTTCTGTAGACCTTTCGCTTCAGTCACACGTTTGAGAAACTGTAATGGCTGATGATATTTGATAAGTTTTAATTCCGCATTAAATCTAAGAAAATATAACGTATATTAGCGGTTCCAGCTACAAAAGTGCAAGATTCTCTAGCTATAAAATTCAACGTCTGAATTCCCACTTTGATTGTTCTGTCCAAAAATATTTTCATTATCAAAACTTTTCAAAACTATTCAGAACAATATATTACACGCATTACGACTATATAAATGTTTTATTTTCCCCTCCCATAATGTCAGAAAAAGTCAAAAGCTAGCTTCTAGAAACCAACTGTTGTTATACCTGGAAATAAATGAGCTGCTAATGTGCAACCTATCCGGAAATTATTAAAAAAACTAATTTATTGTAATCAATATGCTATATAAAATGCAAAAAATTCTACCTTCTCACCACCTTTTGCATTCCGCAATTTATAACTACGGATAAACATTGATGCTTTTTGAGCTTCTTCTAACAAGTCACCTTCTAGCGGTGTTTCATCAGCATCTAGAATTGCTAGAAGCTTCGTGCAGCTGTACGACGTTAATGCAAATGATTGAACAAATTTCAAAGCATCTTTAGCTTCCATACCATCCATTCCAACCTTAAAAAACAACTACGTTGAAATAGGATAATAAACTCGACAACTTACTAAACTGAATTCAATAAACTAAATTTGAAAATAATGAATTTATTAAATTAGATTCCACATACCGATAAATCTATTAAATCCCCTAAAACCTATTTCTTTTCCCATCAGATTTTATCACTTGATCTTATATGCTAACATTTTTTATTTGATGATAAATACTTCAACTTCAAATATTTTATCATCTTGCGGATAATTCGTTAATATCTATACCATCATAGAGATGGAGGTGGCATGACAATCCGGAAGATTCTGGAATGTGCACTGAAAGCTCGTAAGAACTTAATTAGTTTAATAATAAACCAAAAATATATATATGCTACTAACGCGAATGATTCGATCATCTTCAGTGCGGAGCATTTTAAGTTTCAACCAAGTGGGTAATAGTTCGACACCATCCGCATTGAGAACCTTTAAGAAATGAGATATCAACTACAAGACAGTTCATAAACATTAAATAGTAAAATTTATTGCAGATATATGCCATGATTTTACCTTTGGCCGTCTTCCTGATGCTGGAAACCAAAGATCCATGAGAACTCTTGTAGCTAATTTATCCTTCTTCTTCCACTGACTGCACAATAATTGCAGCATTCCATTAACAGCTGTCGAAATCATTGTCAATGAAGACATTTTCTAAAGTAATGTCAGTGAATTATAATTCACAAAAAAAAATCCTAAAGAAATTATTAAAAGCCTAAAGAAATCATTAAGAGCGTTAACCTTTCCGGTCACTATATCTATTTATTTATATTATTTAACTGCCAATCAAAGTAATTTCAACTACTATCAGTTAAGATTAAGCAGCTGCTTATAAGTAATACTATTAAGATCTTGGAATCGCAAGAAAGAAGTAAACATAGATTTATTTGGCTTGATGATATCTTTCAATCTCTAAGAAGTGTAGCATGAGAATAAGAGAACATTAAGATGAAGTATAAAGCAATATAGAAAAAAAAGTATAAAGTAATATACCATATTTGGTTTCTCAATGCAAACCGTCACTTTTTTCACGCTTGATGGCAAAAGCGCTTCTAATTCTTCTGTCCATTCAACCTCATTTTGCTCGACTTCTTTGAAATACCTTTCATAGAAATTTATAGCATTTATTCGAATGATATCCGCTTCTGTTCCATCTTTCACTCGTTCAACCATATTTGAAATGTTGTGTGCAACCTGAAAATTAGCCCCATCAGAATCGTGTGTAACTACGGTAGCGTAATGGCCAAAGATTTTCGCTAAATATTTTATAAAATTAATGGCTCTAACACATAAAAATGTAATGATGCCTCAAGAGGTTTGTCTGGTAACAAAGACAGATCTTCATCGGCATTCTCAAATTAGTTTCTTGATCATATATCGTTAGAAATTGTTAGTGATTACTGAGATATCTCAGCAATCTTTACCTGAGTAACAGTAAAGCAATACTGGTTTAACGATTGGTCCATTTCAAACGATGAAAATCGAATACATAGAACACTCACCAAATGTAAATTTTTCGAATCTGCATATTTAAAAAGAAATGTTAAGTAGTCCGATAAACGATTTAAATCGGTTTCCACTGAACAAGCTTGCGATAACAGTGCACAAATTCGATGCTAAAAAGAACGAAGAACGAAATGAGACAACAAGATTTTCATCCGAATTCATACATATGTATTCATATAAGCCGAACAAAAGATGTTCAGAACAGAGGAACAGTTCGAAATGTAATGAAAAAAGATGGTTCTAGTTACAAAGAAAGAATCAAAAAAATTAATCTATTGAACCGTGATAATACAGATATCGTAGAGAAAAAGAAAAAGATACAGAACCTTTAATTCTCTGAAATATGCGACTTTATGAAGACTTCCGGCCGGTGCTGCATTCGCTCTCATTGGTAACACTTGTGTATCTGCTTCACGCTGCAATGGATATATGATTTTTACTTATTTTATTTACCATGTATCCTAAAACACATAAATTTTTTCATTTAATTCATCCTCGTGTGACTATTATTAGTTTAAATCCTTCAACTTATTGCAAGCAATATCACTTCGATTTGCTTAAAGTTATAGCATAACCAAATTTAATTTTTAATGGAACCCCTTGGTTACTTTTTTATGCAAGGAAAACCGAATTTCCAAACAAAAAAAGCTTTGCAGAGAATCTTGATTCCAATAAGCAGTGAACTGGTAGAATAATAAAAAAGGCACTGATTTCAAAATATATCTTCTATAAGCAGTGAACTAGTGGAACAAGTTGAAATAAAAAAAGCAACGATTTCAAAATGAAAAGGAGATTTTCGAAAAAAATATGAAAATTTCAAACATTATTTGCAAAAATAATCACAACCACCCCTTCAAATACGAGGAACAGCTTACATCAAGAAGTAATGCCAGTGAATGGGCGGCAGCACAACGTTCAGATACTGAATGAGCTGCAAGATGTACCGCCAGATATTCTAGTGTTTCCAATACCGAAGCTCTGGTAGCGGTTGGATTCATGATGGCATTACGTAAACGATGACGCATCTGAATTGGACATTGATTGCAAAATATATCTTTTTTAATGAATGCTGAAAAACTATGATTTCTGAAATATACTATTCATCGTAATATATCTTCAAAAGCTTCTAGGATATCCTTTAAATTTCGAAGATCTATCTACACCTCTCCCACTTTCTGTCATATGAATTAGGTGCTTAACTGGTACTTCCTACAACAAATAACAACAATGAAAATAGTCATTCACGCCCCCACTTCAGTATATCTTAATAGTTATGCTTTCAGTGTCACCTAAGTATGGGATACATGTAGTCGTGTGGTCATTATGAGGCTTAGAAGTTGGCAATTAAATGAAAATTCAAAGCGCCGACCGCGTTCAACCTTTCCGTGTTTGGTGCCACATTGTCATAACATGATGAAGAGGAAGATATATAGTGCAGAAACAGCTCACAAATACATTCGAGAGGCAAGTGAGCTATAGCGTTTGAGTTCGATTCCACTAAATTTATTATGGATGGTAGAGCTTTCGAGCTACCCTAAAAAATTATATCATTTGAAACTGAAGAAGAGATATGACTGCGCTAGAGAATGATTACTATGTTTTGAGCAGCAGAATATAAAAACTCATAGAAAATCAACATCAAACCTGAGATCTGACAATATCCGCCAGCAAATCAGGATCCCTGCATTCGCTCAAGAGCCGTGATAAATCTAAATCTTCATTTAGTTTTTCCAAATCACGCATGATGTTATCCGGAGGTCGTCGACAAACGCCGCTGAAATTCAATAAATTTAGTATGATGAGAATCATCCACAAATATGCTTTTACGTAACTAAGGAACACAACCTGTGACTTTGTAAAGGTAATTATTATAAATATCGTTACAATTCAACAATTCCTAACAATGGTTTATCGCTGAGAAAATCAGTTGATCATAAATTACAAATACGAAACTCAGATGGAAAATAAAAACCGACTTACTTTATATCCAGACTGCATAATTTATTCAAAAGTTTTGAATCCGAATCACTCACTTCCACTCCCGCCAATCGAGCTTCCAAAGTTTTGATTGTCATTTTCTCCTCATAAGCAGCTTTTTCATCATCTTCAATCAGTTTTTCAGCACATGCTCGATCACCCATAATCGCCATCGGTGGGAACGAATAGTCCCTAAATTCACGACAATTTTAATTATAAATGCACAACTTCATCGTGATAACATTCTTTTAAACTGGGTCCTCCCATTTTAAGATTTCATTATGTACTCCACGACATTGTGAAAAATCAGGACATCATGTACTTTTTAAAATAACTGACCATGTCAAGACGATTTGCATGATAAGTTTCAAATTCGGATACTTGTAGTATACCTCCTTAACCAATGTATCTGTGTTCAATGATGACCACATCAACGAAATGAGCCACGCTTTCCAATACAGTGTTCTAACCGCCAAAGGTGCAAGATCTTCGCTGAAAAACAAATAACGGATACAGATTTGAAGAACTATTTAAATCTGTATAAAGAAAATTCTTACACAATAACACTTACCCTTGAACGTTGAAAGTTGGTGGTGGTTTATATTCCGTTATTTTGAATACAGTTTCCAAAAGACTACAAGTACTGATTGGAACCATACTACCACCTATAAATGATTAGTTAATTTTTCGAACAATCAATGATTGGGAGCTAATATGGTTAGCTTTTACCCCTGAATTCATTGCGCATGTTAAATCAGTAATTAGAATTATCAAAAATATGTACTACTCTGATTTTGTACAATTATGGATAGTCGCACTATTCTGGTCATATTGTAAACATCGTCACTTTTACATAATCACATAATCGCTTTACCATATACAGTTTAAACTACCTGAATTTAGTCAGCCAATACCTAGCGCCATAACTTTCGATCGACCTTATTCGTCTGGGATATATGTATTCATTTTTGCGTTAGTCGGCGAAATTTAAAAGATTATTGCTATCCCTAGCTTTAGAGTGAATATCCAAATCGAATTTGATAACATAACAAGAACAAGGTGACCTGTTAATGTGGAAGACAACGAAGCTCGTTTTGTGAGATTCTCAATAACATCCACCGTATCTGCAGCATCAATTGGAATTAACGGATCAGATCCTGCATCCAATATAGTGCGTAATAACTGTTCACTAATAGGAACATCAGCAATAACACGCATATATTGCATTACATCTCCTTCAATTGGCCACTGATCGACACTAGCGTAATAATCAGCCTGTATTATCCAAATCGATCAATGAATACATTTCCTCTGATTCTCAGAAAAAGAAATCTGGTAATACTGCACTAAATATGTCCAATCCTGTCAACGGTATCCAACCGCATAATAAGTCTCCCATCTTCCTAACCTATTCCTAACTAGGGAAATGCATGCCAGAAAAGCCTCACATATTATGCCGTTTTAATTTTATTCTCATAAATTACCTTGCATGATATAGTTGATAAACCACACATTCCAAGAAATAAATGTGCAATAATCGATTGGAATATATATTATATTATATTATATATATATATATAGATAGATAGAATATATGTAATATATATTATGGTTCCCACGGCGAGCTTTTGTGGTGAATGATGGAGATAACAGAACAAGACTAGTTCAGACCGATCCAAGCAAACATTACGATCATATCATTATTATTTTACTTAAAAAGAAATGAATCACAGAAAAGTTCAAAATACCAACCGGAGCCAAATAAAGGACTCGATAGTATGAGTAAACAAATAATCGATTATCAGTGCAGAACTCATAATGTTCGCGGAAAAAGCATGTACAGATTTCGAAGAAATTTCGTAAATCAGCATAAAATCTGGAAGCAAAATGTAATTAATTCAAAGCACGAAAAACTTTCACATATATTACTTTCACTAATACTTCTTATTTTTGATTTTCATGACGTGATTAGCCGGAAGCTGCACAAACCTGAAGAAATAAAAAAGAGGGGCAATGGAACACGGAAAAATGTAGACAAGATATCAAAGGTATACATACTTCTGCAGAGTATCAACATGAGTTTGCGTCAAATTGTTATTAGCATTGCGCCGATGTTGCGATGCTTCCCGAACGATAGGTGTTATTGACAAAAACGGCAGCATTATACAGAAGTCAATTAACGATTTAAAAAAGAAAGCCTGAAATTAATTCCTAGGATGTCATAGAAACTATAATTTCAAAACAAAAATTGCTTTGTGCAACTTATGACATTTTTAAAAGAAAAACGCTGTAAAAAGTTAAATAAGTAATATAACAGAAAACAGAGAGCAACCTACGGGAGTAGCAAAGGCTGAAAAATCTTCAATTACGCTGTTCAACAAGTGAGAAGTAAAAAGAGCAAAGTCGAAATCCATTCGCAACAAAGATCGAACAAATTCCCGGAGGAATGTTCTAGATATACGCAGATATTCTTCCTTAGCTGCGAGCATTTGGGCAATTTCTCGCGCTATAACCTGGAATGAACCTTGGCGTACACTGTTGAATAAAAACTCTACCTGCTCACTTCATTATTTGATTTGGCTCTTTAAATTCAAAAACTCTAAGAACAATAAGTGATTATTAAACAATTATTGAATAAAAAACTCAATAGTAAATGAAACAGTAGTTAAGTAGAGTGAAGTGAATGTATAAATAAAGGGATAATGAAGAATAAAATGAATAAATAAACAAGTAATTCGATTTCCCGGTAACAACTTTAAATTTCGGTAGCGGTAGTGCTAAGTATTAGGAATTTTAGTTACTTTGGATGCCGAACAGTTGTCAAACGAAAATAATGAATGTATCATTGTCATATTGTAAGGGAAACGATTCGCCGAGAATTCATTTGATAATAATAATTTTGCCACTGCATAAATCATCTCTTTATCATTGCTCAGTATTTCTCTGAAGAAAAAAATTAATACAAAGAATTCCGTTAATTCACATTCCAATTTTCTTTCATTTTAACTGCATTGCTTCTATGAGGTTCGAGTCCTCTTGTGATGTTCACTAAATTCAAATATTCACGAGTGGACTTATACATTTGATATACTACACACCGCTAACAGTGGACACTTTTAACGGATTTCACATAAAAATCCTGTGAAATTCGTTAAATAGCTATTTGATAAAGAGATTCAGATTAGTAGTAGTCAAAGATAAAGTGTTCATTAGCATTATAACTAAAATCTTCAATTTTTTAATGACATTTCTCAGATAATGCATTATGAGCAACTCATTTTCGATTTTATCCTCTTTCACAATTTACATTCCACTGTTTCCAAAGATTCCACTTAATTTCTTGAATAGAAAATAGGAAATAATATGAAAATTTTCTTTAAACTAAAGTTCACTTACTTTAAGGCAACATTAAATAGGATATTGATTTGTTTACTTTTCAATGCCCGTAATTTTAACAAAGCGCTTAACGTTTCACTATCTTCTTCGGTAAGCTCACTTCGGCCTATATTACTTGCAATCCATAAAAGTAATTCCATGGCGTATCTTTGAAGCTGTTGAAAAAAAGAAATAATTAAGGGATCTTTTGTCAAGAAATAGAAAAGTAAAACAGGTCTATGGAATTCCAAGCCACTTTAAATATGCGAGTTCCAATATTTCATCATTAATCTTTAATTTCGACTCGCTAACATAATCTTAAACTATACTTTTAAAATGTGCTTAATATTATATACATTTTATCTCATATCAAGTCATAACGTGTAATGTCATACGTATCAACTCATAAGAAGCAGAGTTCAAAAAAAGTACAACATAGAAAAAGTAAGCAAAGCCAATAATAAAGCTGTGCTTCTATAGCTTAATTACTAGTAACCATGAATAATGTAATGTTAATAGTAACATGTCATTAATATATTATATCGCTACTTCATGATTATCATGATTAATATCATGTCTCTAATATAGCAGAACCATCATTGAAAATACACACCTTTCCATTCAGCAACCATGAATCCATCTTTCGTGCAGCCAGTAACCGAACGGTTCCATTTCCTGAACATACACACATTGTCTTCAACAAATTTCTTGGCGCACTTTCACCCTTCCGTTCATATATATCTCTCAATTGCATTACAAACGTGTCAATTTTCTGCTCCTTGTCGGTCACTTTTTCAAACCGATTTATTGCGTCCTATAAAAAAATTCTTAAAAAGTCATCTATGACTATTTTTCTTAAACCCAGCAGAAAAGAAATTGAGGCAGAGCTAAAGTTTCAAAAATATTACAAAGAAAGCTCAAAAAGGACAACAAATTTTCTTGATTAAGACAAGACAGATAAACTGTCTGTCCAACATTCACTATCGGTAGTAAAATTGCTCCATTTAGTCATATCTCCTCATATCGCTAGGTAATTCCGGTATAAGTTACAACAATTATTACCACAGTCCGATACCGTTCTGGATAAGTCAAATCGCATGCTGCATACATTGATTCATGTGGGATCCGTGTACCAAAGGCTGTCATGATATTCACAACCAAGCCATCTACTGATGGTCGATCAGCCCACTGCCTTTCATACAAACTGTCATCAATAAAATTTTCAACCAAACGCCAATTCCAGTCAGCCATTCCCATTAAAACTTTGCATAACACTATAAAAAACCATTCGCATAATTAATATCTCTAATTGAAGTTAAACTGTTGTTAAAATGTAGAATTATTTTTAAACTATCACTTATCAAATTCTCACGATCAAAAAATACTTCGGCAGCAAAGCTAGCAAATTGAGGTGTTACCTTCTTCAAAGAGAAACCTCAGATTTGTTTATCACCAATGCATTATATTTCATGCAGCAGTTCTTGGGATACCGATTTTATATCTCACGTGAAAAATTAAACAGCCAATAATGGTTAGAAAATTCTGAAGAAAATAATATTAAAGATTAATCGATGAAAGAACGTGAAAAAATTTACGCAAAGGAGCCATCGCTGAACCAGGAGAAGAAGTCGGGAAATTCGCTGACAACAAAGAACAAAGTACTTCGATCAATTCTTCGTGTTGCTACAACAAAGTTGAATCGTCGACATAGATTACGATCCTATCCGGTTTAATTAACAATGAAATAATGAAAATAGAACTAAATAAACACGTACCTCCGAAATTCTAAAAAACAAAAAGAAATGTCGTTTGATTCAGTGGTGTTATTAATCCGTTTAAAGAATTCTTTCATAAAGATACAGAGTAAACATTAGGCTTTCAACAAATAGAAAGGGTCAGAGATAGGGTACAAAACTCTTGCTACAATAAACTTAATTTCTTTAGCATTCTTTTCATAAAGTGCATGAACTTAATTCAATTCAATATTTTTACAGTTAACTGGTCACAGATCTCCCAAAAAAGCATTCGTAATGTTAATCTTCATTCCTCTTGCTTTACCATTAATCTATAATTAAAGATTATTTACCGATAAAAATGAAGCATTCATTTTCACGAAAAGCATAAGTGCTGAACATATAATTGGTTCCTCAGCCCAACTTCCAGTTTCTTTACGGTGATCTATTATCTCCCGTATTGCTGCGCATATTAACCGTGAAGCTTTTTGTGGCTTTTGTTTTTCTTTTGCCGATTCCAGCGATGCCAGTAATTGTTTAGGTACTATTTGTATCTGAAGTGCACCCAAAAAAAACTACAATCAAATTTCTATAAAGATCTGTAGACGACCTTCTTTGTGATATATTTTCGCTGAATATCTTATTCATTGGCTTACAGTAAAAAAAAAACTCTTTCAATTGCAATATCAATCACTGCAAATATAAGTGTAAAAATTTGCATAAGTTCAGAATTTTATTAATCACTGGTCAAATTTTAGGAGAAATTTGATACTACATGATGTGTCCTAAATAACCAACACTTGATATTTGTATGAAAAAGCACTTACTTCAGCACAAAAACTACGCCATCTTGAATCATCGACTTCGGCACGTTTGACAGAACTCGTTGATGGAGTGCTGGAAAGAATTTTCCCAGAAAAATCAAGACGGGGCTTCTTCAAAACACTACTCGATAACTGTAATCAAACAATTACACTGAAACAAATATTTAAAATTCATTCAATTCTTTCAGCCAATTAAAAAAAATAAGGTATCATCCACCAATATCCAATGTGGAAGAAAAATAAATGGTATGACGACTGCTATCAAAAAGTTTTGCAAGGAAGAGTAGAAAGACCAACTGATCTCGGAGAAATGAGATACAATCGTTGTTCATCATTATCGAAACTTTTATGAGTAATATTTAACATCTGAATTAAAGAAACAATCAGAGGAAGCAATTCGAATTTACCGAAAATTAACTGACTTCTTTAAATACGAATCGCAGATAGTGAATGAAATGAACAAATAACTTATTAACCGGTAAAAAATCGGAAATTAAAATTAGAAATGGAGATTACAATCAACAATTATTATAGAATTCACCTGTGGTAATTCCCGCTTATGAACCTGAGGTTTTGTGCGACTAGGATCGGAAGTTGACGGAACATCACGACCGATTGCTAGAAATCCACCAGCTGGTAAATTTGCTCTTGCTTTATGCCCTTGCTTACTCATGCTTCGTTTCCAAAATTCACTGAAATTTTGTAAATTCGAATTTGGCACTTTTTTAACCCATTCGAATTATTCCAGACACCTCGTCATTGACTTTTACCATCATTAACTGCTATTGACTTTTACCAAGTCCGAATAGACTTCCTTATGTCATCAATGTATAGAAATTGACAGGTCTTCACTTCCTCCCTTTCCGTTTATTCCTTCTCGTATCATTACTCCCTGCCATGTCACGAAAGGCCGCCCGGATGGGACATACTCTATCTGCCAAATTGATGATGCTATTCGGCGACGCAAAATATTACCAACTGATTCGAAATCCCAATCAAGAGTGTCACCTTATTTCATCCAACCACATTAACCTCTTTCCCATTTCTCTCATATCCGATCTGAACTTCAGCTCAACTTATTTTAACGATATCTCTTATATTTCAGTTTCTATATTTCAGTCATGCAAATTTCAGACAACGAAACACATAAAAATAATAAAACATTTCTAAATGATTGTTATTTTTATAATTTTCTGCATTACACGGTGGTATTCTGGCAGTGCATGTAGATGTTACCATTTTTATAACTTTATTTCAACTACTCCATCAATCATGCAGATGTAGAGGTTTTTTTAATTTTTTGAGATTAAACTTGAAAGAGAGGTTGAGTTTTCACACAAATTTTAAGGAGTTGAAGCAAAAATAAAAAGAGCAAAAATTGTGCGTTCACTAAAACATTTCACGTCAAAATCTCAATTTATTATTTTATTCTATCTGGGGCCACGCACGCACTGTCTATTAGCTTACAGAAAAAAAGTGCAATATATAAAATCTCTACAACGCTTTCACAATAGCTAAAATGCAAAATATTCAAGAGAAGTAGATGTTGCACTTTTACATTTAATTTAGGAGAATCAATGATAAATGGAATTGAAGATATTAGTTACTCCTAGAGAACTGTTTCTATATATATATATATCAACAATTCTGCTAATTAACTATCAATAATTAATCACCTCACTCCTCTAGTAGATTTGTATTGCTGATTCCTTTGTCATTACTGCTTTACTAAGCCACTTATTTTAATAAACGGGTGGTCCAAATTGCGTGACAGTTAACAGCCAATGCACTTTCCATTTTTGTCAAAGTTTCCGAAAAGTTATATATTGCTCACTCACATTCTCGAAACAGCTATGATGTTTAACTTAGGTTCTCTCGCAACTTATGAATTTACGCAAAATTCAAAAAAAGAAAATTTTCGAACATTGCAGCTGGATCTAGCAATTATTATATTATAAAAGACGTTCGCCAATCTGAATTCCAAAAATTATCCCACAAAAATCTCATTTTATCTATCTTACAACACAATTTGTCGTTCTGTGAGCAGATTGGATGGTAAGTTATTATTAGTATGTCAAGGCGGAAGGAATTAACACCGCAGTGCTTCAGATGCATCTTAGTTCCTCTCGAATTGTGAGAATTATCACTACATCACAATACCAACAGAAATTTGATCTTCATTTTGATAAAACCTTCTGACATTTTGATAAAACACTCTTGAAGAAATCTGATAAGCTGAAAGTATGAGGAAATTTCTAGTCTTTCTTAAGCTTGAATTTTTTTTGCGAAATCATATTTTTCAGTGAAGTGACGTACAATGTATTTCACTATCGTCTAAGAAAGTTGCATCTTACACGACAAAACTGTCAATGTCTTATACAAGATTAAAACGTTTAATTTTTCGAACAGGGTAAGTCTTCAAGTAATCTCCTTTTTTTGAAATCCTAGTCGAAATAAAGATGAATTTGGCAATGAATTAAAATCATCAAAGATGGAAAATTACTCAAAAAATAGTACAAAAATGAGAAAAACTAATTTATGCATATCAAGCAAATTTCCAAAACTTAGAAGAAACTCTGCAAGTCATTCTATTTTTCTATCATAAAGTAAAATTAAAGCAGTGTCCAGTGAAAGTTGATAAACAGGAATTGTAGTTAGCAAATTGATATAGATAATCAAAGCTCACATCCAATAATTATATGTTACTCCTGAAGATTTTAGAAAATTTTCTGCAGTACGCTTCGTTTTTGAAAGATTACGAGAGATCGTGCAAGTATTGTTGTAATTTACTAATGCTATATATGGATAAAAAGAATTCCAGCACTAACGAATTTTTCAGAAGTGGAGGAACAATGCTGGTAATCATGATAGCTCTAGTTATAGGTGTACCCATTTTGATTATTCTTATCTCCGGCTTTATTATTGTCGTTATATATTGCTGTTGCCAAAAAAATGGTTGGTATTCACGGATAATTTAACTAAAAAATCACAAGGGAATATTTGACTAAAACCATTCAGAACAACGTTCGGTTATTTAATAATACTATTTGACTTCCAACAGACAAAGAGAATGCCTTAAGCATGAACTTTTCGACAGAGCATTGAGATCATCTCCTCTGATCATTAGTTATCGATAGGAAAAATCGTTTGAATAATTAAAACAGTAAACAGGATTTGACATTTTGGGGTCGACTTGACATCATCATCTATACAACGATCAATTGGTTGAGTAGTGGTGGCTTTATACAAATCTAAAACTAACAATATCATTGAATAGGAACAGTAGAAGATGAATTACCGAAAAGTTTGATCGAGAACTGCAGACGAGCGAAGCCACCACCAGAGGAACAAGGAAAATACTTACCAGAGCTATTCGATGCTTCAGCATTTCAGTTCAAAGGACCACTTATTATTGAATGTCCTAAACTGCACATTCTTGTTAGTGCTGATCGATAGAACGTGCTTCATTTCGAATATTTCTCTTAATCGATGGCTTCAATTAAAATGTGATTTCATCTATATTTAGGAGCATGACCTCATAAATGCAAAGCCAGCTGGAAGCAATATAAAGGATCATGTTCGATTTGACGAAAACCTTAACGTCGTATGTTTTTAGATTACTATTTCTTTTCCATTAATTCCAACTAAAATATCTCACCGAGATTTCGGAATATCCTACTGGAACGTATGCTTACCAGAAATGAGAGTATGGCGTAATATGTTCTGAACTGCTTCCCTATTTTCAAACTTTCCGTTTTAGGCTTATAACATCGGAGAAAATGTTGAAATAATTGTTAAAAGCTATGGACAAGGTAGAATATTATTTGAATTCTAAAACGATTTTTCAAATGCTGCTAAGTTTACTGTTTGACTTTAAAAAATCGTAAAACAATTTCTTTAAAAATCGTAAAACAATGACTTCAAAAAAATCGTAAAACAATGACTTTAAAAAATCGTAAAGCAATTTATAGGGATTAAAGCTAGTCTTTCTTCCTTTTTGATTATAAAGCTTAGTTCAATTGTTGAATATAAAAAGGAAGAAATGAATCTTTACTTTCTTACTAAAATCTGCTCCATACTCCAAAAATTTTTGGGAACATCACGCGTACTGAGCAGTCAACGATAACAGTAAAGAATCCAAATCCACATTTAGCTTCTTAAAAGAGAAATAACAACAGGAACCAAAACTGGAAGTGGTGAAATGATTAAAGAAAATGGAGCAGATGGGAATGATGGGCTGAACGAACAGGAAAATGACTCCAGACAGTCGATCAATGAAAATGGAGAAAAAGATATAGCAAAGCAGTTAAAAAGACAAAATACACAATCACGAGAAGAAAAAAGCGGGATAAGAGAAATGCCAGATCCAAAAAAGGAATCCAAACCTGTATCAGTCCGCACACAAATAACTCAGCCAAGCCGGTATTCTGAATCATCCACGCAAACTCTCAGGGTTAATGGCGAAGCAAATATTAAAAGTCCTAAAAAACAGAATGGTGGAACGAACATGACAAATATGCGAGGGAGAAATTCCAGCATTGTGCATGAAGCCGATAAAAGAAAGAACAAACCATTACGAAAAAGGGCTTCAAATATCCTACCTGAACAAACAGCTCCGTCACCAACTAGATCGAGGATTATAAAACTAACGAAAGAACACCATACTGCATCAATCAAAGCAACAAATATCACGTCAACAGTGCAGACAGTTAAATCTCATAACTGGGTGGCTGAAGAGATTAATCCTTCTATATCCGGTTCATCCGGAAGTCAACACAAAAGCGGTAACACATCCGAAAGGATACGATCCGAAGTAAATTAAAAGTTTATATTTTTACGGCTCAAGTTTGAAAAACTGTCTCATAATAGCATAGCATGTATGATCCTGTTAATTTCAAGGTCATAATCAATTCTGATACTAATATTCAGCCCTGCTCAACTATTTATGCAATAGCTAAACAGACGCATTTGCATAATCACATATGTATAACATAAGTATAAAAGAATTTTGAATGAGTTTTAGAAAAAATGATTCCTTTAGTATCCAGCGATGATTAGAAGAGTTCGGAAATTGGGAGAAAATTTAATGTTTATAAAACGAGCACTTATGACAAACCATTTAGGAAGCATTGCAAGAAGTTTTCCCAGAATAATCAATCCAAGAGTCTCACCCTGCTAGAACCTTAACTATTTAATCCAACAGCTGGAATAGGCGAACTTGCATAAAATTTTTTTTCTTACATGTCTTAAATTCCAGTTCTTAATGCAAGAGAATTTTGCCCTAAATTTTAAGGATGAAATCCGCAAAAGTGAACTATAAACTGTCTAGTAGTAAGTAGTTGATGGAAAATATCAAAGAAAAATCCATGCAATATCGAAAAATCTTCAATATTGTAAATCGATTCCTTTTTTCTAGGGAAACCGATGACTTCTGGAAACAAAATATATCCGGAATTATCCGCTCTTGTTCATCATCTGCTTCTGCTTCTATATCGTTATACAATTCAAATTAATTCAAATTAAGTTTTCAAAAAAGAATAAAATAAAAATAAGTCCGAACGTTATCGAGACTTTGTAGAAAGGACAAACTAACGGAGAAGCAATGATTATTTCGTAAAGAAACAAAATGTAAAAGAAAAAAGCAATGTAAGTTCATTAAAATAAATTCACTATAAAATAAGGAGTCACACAGCACTATCAGGTCTTTATGTGCTGTGTCAGGACTTCCATTTTACGGAACTCTTCTAAAAAATATCATGTAAAACTTTTTTCTCGACTAATTCTACGTAAGATGGAAACACAGGCAGAACAACAAAACTGAATTGAAGAACAGCGAAGCATGAGGAATGAGGAATTATTTCAATAACTACTTCTTGAGATTTGACGTCTAAACAATATTGCTCTGCTTCTGTAGTCTTTAATGTGCAGTGGGTAAATTGCATAAATCAAAGCAAAGTTTGGTTATCTGCCAGATATTCATGAAAAAAATTTCAGTCATTCATGCATCACAGCTTTAACATGAACTTCAACTATAGTCATCCATATATCTGTGCAAAAAGATTTCAGACATAAAATCCAACACGGCTCAGTCATGCATTACAGATAATCTATGTTACAATTATGTATTAAGATACCAATTTCTAAACGTATAATCTTTGCTTTTCTAAAAAGAATTTCAAACATCAATTCAAAATTTTGATTACGACCAAAATTTTACAATATAAGCAAAAAACAGTAATACACATTGAACAAAAACATTTTTCATATACTTCGCTATCATTTCGTCCGAAACCGCTGAGTTACTGCGTTTTGTAACCTCATCACTGCTTGTTTCTGATTTTCTTGCTTTGTTGCAGCATCTGCTATCGTTTCTTCTAACCGCTTTCTATAGTTTTTTCGATTTGTTAAACCAAGTCAAACAGGAGATTATAAGCAAATATTTGAGTAGCTTCATAAATAGGGGCAAATAATACTACAAAAATTCAAATCGAGTACAAATTTCAAATAATCAACTTCAGATCTATACCAGAGCACTTTAGCGTCGCTCCAAGTACAAAAGTTCGAGAAATGTTTTACCCAACTCTATGAGTGTACAAAGAAGAACTTTCTTGATTTGAAGCACACATCTCAGTATTTCTCAGTCACTACATAAGATTTAAGAGTATCCCGAAATAATATCTTCCATTCATCAGAAAAAATCAAATTCAAATTTGAATTTTAAATTTTTTTTAAATCAATTGAACTAAATAATACATCAAACTTCATCCACTTCTTTAACTACTACTTTTCATTCTTCATAACTAACATGGCATAAGTAAACCCCATTTCTTTCCCTTTTTGAAATTTATGACATAAATTAGGATGGTGAGGATAAAAGGAAGCTTACATTTCAGTTGTGATATAATTTATGCGTTTTTCAACATTTTGTTTCGCCTCGGCAAGATCTTGCTTAATTAGTACTGGTCCAATTAATTTGAATACCGTTGCACCATCTTCCAAAAGATCAAGCTCCTAAAATACATAAGCTATAGAATAAATGTATTCCCGAGATCAGTTCAATCTCATAAAATCGACTTTCCGCTCATATTTTTCCACTTCAATAAATCTTTTATTTCATAGTTGCTTGTTCCTTTTGCTAACAGTTGCAAAAATAAAATATTAAGTTAAAGCGCGAAACGGTTAGAAAGCATAAATACATATGAAGCAGTGAACATGATGAAGATTTGCTTACCAAAAAAAGGAAGGAATTTTGCCAAGAAATTACGAAAGGAAGGAATTATTAAAATAGACGTCGTAAAATATGACACCGGGTGTTCTCTATCTATCCCTTTTCAATATAAAAACTATTTTAATCCATCCACTAATTATGCTGCTAATGGATACATCAAAAATTTATAAGAGACTAAAGTTAATTAACTAAAAAAATGAAGCAAAAAGGAAAACGAAGAAAACGCTTACGGTTTTCACAAGATTATTCTCCGTTAGCTGCCCTTCAAGTTGTTGTCGATTATGAATATTTTTTTCGCGCTCTGTATAAAACAAATAAAAGTAAATAATATGTATCAAAATAGTATAAAGCATCACGGTCTTTAAATCTAACAGCGATAGATACATTGACACAATGACTTCATTTTTGCAAAGCATCTTCGTTAATTCCTTATCTATTAAAAAAAAAAATTTTTCTAAGTTATTCCAATGTGTATGTATCAAATTTTACACTTCAAATTGTATTTAAGGGTTAGTATCACCTTAACTTGAAAGTCAGTTAGTATCACCTTAGCTTTCAGTAACAAAATTTTCGATTGGAAAACCAGAATAGCTGACTCACAAGCTAACAAAACAAAAAAAACCGACAAGATTACTAACCTTTCTCAAATTGTTTATATTTAGCAAGCTCTTCTTCGAATTTGTTCATAACAAAATCACCCATCCTGTCCTCGAAACCTGAAGTTACTGTTCAGTATTTTTATCATTATTCCATCACATGGTAGCAGTAATGAAAACCAATACAAGTTCTGAATTCAGTTGCGTTATGCTACAATTAAACTTACTTATCAAGTTAAAACTCAAATTGAAAATCAAATTCCTATGCAATCAAATATTCATTCTCTTATAACTCTTTTAATTTTTAAAATAATTTTAAAATTTCAATCGTACGAGTCATTATGCTTCTTCGAAATAATTCATCATGTGTACAACGTAAAACTTTGAGAAAATGTTGCAAAAATTAAAATATCTTTAGATACAAAAACTAATAAATAATTGAAATCCGAAATTTTGAAGAAATTTACACATATGAAAGGAAACAAAAGAAGTAATATATAGTAAGAAAGCGTAAATAAAATTGATGAGCAACAAAGACAAGTATATGCAAGTAAAGCACGCCTATAAAAAAGTTTTCAAAAGATATTAGGTAATCGGATAATCATCATAGCTCTAAATGAAATAAACAGCGATTTGATAAAATCCCATTCAAAACACAATTGCAATTAATTTTTTGCAAAGAGATGTAAAAAAAACTGAATTAATGAGAGCTCGGATTTTCACAATCGGTTTTTAATCCGCAATTTTTACAATCCACAAAAATTCTGATTCAGAGATATTTTCTCGCTCAGAAAATAGCGAAGTTTTGAAATTTCTTAAGCATTAAGCGAGTTTATTGCATCAGTTATAAATGGAAATATAATACAGTCGTAACGAACCAATGAAAAAAACCGATTCATGAACCATGTGATCAACAGTAATCAATAAAATCAAAACAATGAAGCGCTTCTAGCTTTTTGAAAAACTAAAGCTGAGGTAACCTCATAGAAGAACATAACCATAGAAAGCATTTAAATGCAGAACATATGAATATCTTACAGTAATTATTTATGGAACTAGTAGTAAAAGTGTCAAATTTATTACCCAAAACCTGGATGCTTCTAAATTTTAATTCACTTCAGTATTGATAATGTATATAATGTATATACATCAAACTAGTCCATATATAATTTTTCACATTACCACAAGACCATTCTCTATCTAAACTATCGAGAGCTCACTTATGTTACAGCCTATCCAGATTCAAAAAAAAGCATTACAATGCAAAAAATGTCGGCAAAACACGATAGTTTAATTGTTAAATGAAAAGTCTCCGCCGAGCACGTTTCTTCGGCCTGTACTCCGGATAACGTGTTTTAAGAGCAATCGGTGAATTGCTCTCAATAATTTGCCCACGTCGACGCTGCTCTTCTCTGTTTGGCATCCCAATCTCCCAGTAGTACTCAGGAGTAGATGGTTCTCTTTCAATATCTCTGTGTTTACTAACCTGCAGAGAATATGGATGAATTAAAGCATATAAGATCAAAATTTGTTCCTAAGCATCACTTCTCTTTGTCAGAAATCGTCAACGATCCACATCCACACCCAATTTCATCAAGTTCTACTCACTAAAATGAAACAACAATTGCCTGTATCCCTCGGACTTTAAACAGAATTTAGACTAACTTGATCAATCCGTTTACTACGTTCATCTTGATTTAATCCCAAGGCTTCGTAGTAATCCGCGCAACATCGACAATCAAAACCGTGCAATAATCGTCGTTCAGCCTTTTTCCGTCTAACTTTACCATCATCGTTAAATCTTGAGGTCAGTTCATTGTCCACATATTTTTGGTCACTTCGGCAAAATTTTGGTGAAGATATTGCTCTCATCAGCGAACGTGTATGCTGCGATTCCATAACAGCATAACACTCAGCCACATCACTTCGATCCAATACAGTTGCAAGTGACATTTGCTTCAGAATTTCTGGTTTCTTTAATGCGTCAGGAGGAGATGGAGTAAGAGGGAGAGATGAATCATCAGACAGAGAAGAAATAATATCCACCTCATCTTCATTTGTTTCTTTTTGGCTAGTAGAAGTTGAAGCTGAACTTGACAAAAAATTCTGCAATCTCGTGATTCTTTCAGATATCTGATTCGTTTTCAACTGTGAAGACATCTGCGGTGAGATCTGCATAAATTCTGATAAATTTTCATCTACGCATACTGTAGTGCTAGATGTTAGCTTTTTCAACTCTCTCGAATCAGAACTCAGAAGGATCGGTCGAATCCCAGTAGAATTTGTTAAAGATTCCGATAAAATTTGTGGTGAACACAAGCCACTGACAATTATCCCAGTATTTTCATTATATTTCTTGTTTGCCTTGGTCACGGAATTCAGTTTTTTGGGAGAAACATCTGGACTAATATTCAACCAAAGGGTATATTCCTCTGCATTAACCGATTTCGGTTTCGATGATGGCTCGAATCGGTTAATCCAATTGTCCAAGGTCCCGTTACAACGGACTCTCGATTGTCGCTGTATAGGAGCTGAACATCTCGTCGGTAGTGGTTGAGTAGGAAGAAGAGGTGATCTGTTTTGTAAAGCCTTCTTCGGTGTTGTAAGATCAATGATTTCAATAGATTTTGGTGTTCGTGGAATGTCATCAATTGTATCGAAAATATCAGATAGATTTTTGTTTTTTTTCAAATCTATTTCTAATAGTGGTTGGGAATTCTCTTGTTCAGCTGCTGCATCCAATGAAATTTCGGAAATTTTCTCTGATTTTTCATAGTCTTCGAGCAGACGGACTGGTGAAGTAGTAGCATCCAGAAATGAAGTGTCATCCAGTGAATTAGAATGTTCCGCGACATTAAGAATTCCTCTGCAGGAAAATGCCTTTTTGCCAACTGGTGAATTCAAATAAGAATTCATGATGACAGTGATGATATTGTTATGGACAGTAACAATAACATTAAAGAATACGTGACAAGCGAAAACTGTGGTGATAGAAATCGACACCTCGACTACTTCTAAAAAATCTGATTTCAGTTCAGTTCTTAGTAAACAATCATTACTTTCTGCACAGGGTAGAATAGCAGTATTCAGTTCTGCTAAAGAAAAGTTGAAATTAAACCACCGTACCCATACTGCATCCAATACTTATAAAACACAAAAATGGAAAATTCATCTTATCAATAATCTCACCACCATAAAAAAAAATTGATCACTTAAATTTTCCGAAATTGCTCTTTCGTTGGCTCTTTCGGTACTGATGAGTGGGTGGTTAGAGTACTTTCTAGTTCTTCGATGTCCATTAATTATTTTATTTTGTATATTTATTTATTTGTTCTTTTGCTCTTGATGCTTAGCTTGTCACTTATCTATCTCTAACAGCAATGATTGTAGATTGAAAATGATACCGAGCCAAGTACCACAACCGGTATATACTGCATTGAAAAATGGTACTTTCATTGAAAATATCGATACATTCGATTCCGAACAAATCCAACCATTCCTGCCATCCCTTTTGCTTTGTTCGTTTTCATCAGCTTGCATTTTTTCGGATGAGTCATTGGTTAGTTATTTCTTCGAAAATCTAAATTTCATTTTTTCAGAGAACCCAAATTTTCGTTTTACATTGTGAAAATCCAAATTCTTTTTTGTCAATACTGTGATTTTCTTTGCTTGGAAAAGTCCAAGTTCTTTTTTAGTAATGCAAATTTTTTTAAGAAACAAAGTAGTCGTTGCGCTTCTTGAAAAAAAATGTCCTGGAGATCTCGATCTCTGTGCTTTACGTTTTGTTCAAATTTTACTTCCAGAAAAGACTTTTTTCCTTCACTTGAAATGTAAAAGTTCTGGAGGTTACGGAATTTTAAACTGAGTAACCTTTGGAACACAAAATCATTGAATATTTGCTTCTTCTAATCAACAAGTTGAAATGAACGAAATAAGGGATAAATCAAGACAGTTAGCGTTTTTTTAGTTAGTAAGTGATGAGCAGGTTAATCGAGCAAATTGTGAACATTTTAAATGCAGGGCCGGATTGCCCGTGATCATTTTTTCTTTTTGTTTTTATTGTAAAAGTTTAATTAATATTACTGAAATTAGTCATTATCACTCAGCAATGTATTCTTGGGAATTTTTTAAGGATCAGCTTCGACGTCGTTTACTGGAATTTCCCCAATGCAACTCATTGTTTCAAATTCTTAGTGCAGACATTATAACTGTGGAGAATGATTTGAATAAAGCAACGGCGGAGGATATTGAAAGCATAAGTAAAATGCCGTTTGAAACCGCATCTCCACAAATGAAACTCAAAATTGTTGCATTTCTACTTGATCGAAGTAATTTTCCCCAGTGTCCGTATTTAGATTCTAATTTATATTTGAATAAAACTAATTGGGCCGAGAAAGACAAGCGGATTACCTACAGGTGTATTTAAATAATATTTGTGGACAAATTGTTGCCTTTAGTAACTGGAAAATTTCTGGATTAACGTGAACATCGAAAGTTGACTAGCCAATATTCTCAGATTAAACAGAAGTAATCTTTTAGTTGCAAAAAATAAGGAAAATAATGCAACGAATCTGGATATCTTTGAGCAGGAATCAACACTGGAAGAAGTAATATGTGCGATGACCATATGTGCGTTGCATATTCCAAGTCGTTTCGATCCCGCCTTAATTACTCATTCTTTATTGGCAGTACCTAATGCTGTAACTGTGATTACTATGGTAAACATTAGAAATTGCTTGATAAGCATACGGGAATCATATTCTATCACAGCTGGTGTACGATTTATCATTTATTAGAAGATGCATTTAGCTTTAACAATCCCATGAAATACAATGATGATTAAGGAATTCATTTTTTTTACAGCTAGTGTGTAATGTCAGCGACTCGTTGGAATCCACTGTTGATTGCCTATTGAGAGCTCAATTGCCGGATGATGATAGCGTTGTCAGCAAAAACAGAAACAATTTGTTGCTAAAGGTTTGTAGACATAATGAAATGCTTGACATTGCATTTTCTTCCCTTCTCTCTTTAGCAAATTTCATAAAAATTTAATACAGGTGTTTTAAACTAGAATTATATCACTATTTAAATCACTGTATCCAATAAATATTTAGCCACATCGGCACCTAGACTAATGAATTAATATGACGGTTTGTCTCTTGTTGTTGTCAGTCACCACGTGTTTTGCCATGCGAAAATATATTAATGAAATATGAGATGGTATATATAAAGTAACTTGATGTAACTTTTCTCTTTCTTCAATGATCTGTATTTTGAATCTAGAATTTCAAGACTTTTCCATGTTGGTCTCTTCAAAATTTGAAGTTCAGCGAAGCGTTGTTATAGTTCCTATAACAAGATTAATATAATTAGCTTTATTTATGTTAACATGGCTATAGTAATTTAAAAATTGTTGAAACATTAGATTTGTAAACCTTTCAATTTCAAGGTCCAAGGGACCTTTAAATTAGTTTGGTAATTCCGTCACCCTTACCGATTATTTTTTTTGTTACTTATTGCCTTGGCTTTTCACACTTTCAACTTACAAACTGTTCATATATATTTTTAAATTTCAAAATTCTTATACTTCAGCTGCTCTCTATAGATCCATACCTTGTCGAACCAAGCATCTCTCAACTGCTGGATGCAAATGCCTCAAGTGGCAATAGTTTGGCACTGATGTTAATATGTATTTGCTTAAGTAATACTCAATTGATAAACAACTTACTTTGCGCCTTGCTAAACAAACGCTCCTTGGCTGTCTTCATCCATCGATCATCTGATAAACCGGCTGTGAAACTTCTACGTGATCGGATTTCCGAAGTTATAAGAGCATTTTCATCGAGGTTTGTGGTATTTTTAGTTCATTGTAAAGTAGATTCGTTAATAACTATGAAATTTCCCTTTCACATATTGTGAATATTCCCAGAAGCTTCGGGTTAATTCTTTAAGAAGTTAAAACAAACTGATGCCAGACTCCATGAACTTAATCAGTTGGCGAATGAAATGGATTATTTTGACTATTGGATTGCAAATCTCTTTTAGGGAGCTTTTTTCTGTTGTTCTGTGATTTGCTGGTATTCTTCCTTTGGGTGTGTAGTGAATACCGGAAAGTTTTGTCTGCCACAAAGCTTTTGCATGGGAGTTTTTCATCGTTTCAGCAATCCTGATTTATTACATTATCGTAAAATTTAACCCTCAAATCTCCAGAAAAAAGTTTCTATGCATCTCAAAGTAAAGCAGAATTTTCGACTGGTCATAATCGGAAAATTGGTTAGGTATTTCAATTTTATTATAGTACGATGAATGATGGTACTGAAGCTACTCTAGCTCAGTTACTGGCAGTTCTTCGTATTAACGCCGGTATGCGCTTGAGTTATGATGAAACAAATTCTTGGTTGCTATTTCTTACTCGAACGGATTTGAATGACGATCGGTATATAATGACAGCATTATCCGCTATTATTGCTTGTCCACAATTAATACCGTAGGTGTTATTTATTATTGGAATTTGCACCATCCTCTTTTAACATAGATGATACCCTGTGGTATCTAGGGATTAACAGTTTAAAGATATTATTACATGATGAACGGTGTCTAATAGTCTCAGAGCAATTGGTGAAGGCGTCATGTTTTGTCTTCATCGATCATGATTTTTTCTCCCACTTTTTATCATAACATTATTTCACTAACTTTGAGTTTTGGATCAAAATTTGAGCAACTAGTTGTAAATTCGAAAAAATTAAATTGGTCTCGTACAAAAGAGATGGTGTTATCTTAATATGAACATAAAGCTTTCTGAGAACAAGCTCTACAAGCGATAGAATTCTGTGATCCATATGACTTTTTTTAATTCTAATGTGCTCGTCAATTTTTAGAATTACTATGTAGCACAGAAAGAGCGAGTCAATTGTGAAATTATGAACTTATCAATATTTTATCATTGCTTGTTTTAAGATTGCATCTCGGTGATGAGAAGGAAGTGGAAGCTTCAATTATAGCATTTCTGGATTGGCTTAAGCAACGAGCTGCATCGAATGCTTCTCCAACTCTGCAACAGTTCTTTATTTTGTTATCAATTCATTTGCATGCTGGGCAAAGTGAACAACTTGCTGCTCTTATTTCGAGTGTTCTTGCTTTTAAGGTGTCATTTTAGACATTGTGAACTTTGGATATATGCAGTTGATAACTGGATTATTAATGTAACATTAGCTGTTTTTGTCCTTCTCTTAACGTAGGAACTGAATAGATATTATTTCTAATTTTACTATTCTGATTTCTGGCATCACTAAGCTCGATTTTTTCTGAACTATGTCATTTAAGCAATTAACCACAATTTTAACTTGAATATTTTGCTTCCTGAATTGGCAGTTTTCCTGTTAAAGTATACAGTACTTTTTATAACATTGTTTTTTAACAGAACTTCCAGGTTACTGTAAACGTGCGAAATCTTACAACATTGAAGAATTTATTCCTGCGGCATGCTATGACTGAACGTGATATAGCAGAACGGGCTTCGCAAATGCCTGTCACTCGTCTCCTTAGTTCTCATCATCAAGGATTTCTTCCAGCTCATTGTATCACCCAACTACTTTCAACAAATTCATTTTCAAAACATTCTGTTCCCATCCAGGTTTGTTCCTAGAATGATTTCATTAATTGTCGAAATAGCCTTATACATTTGTTCCTAAAGTCGTCCTTCTTTCATTTTCGCATCATAATTCATCAATTCTTGAGACAGTTAAATAGAAGTACGCTGCAATTATGAGTTCTCAATGATGACAATTTGGCAGTGCTGAAAATTCAGGTGTGATCTATTTCGAATTTTAATGGTTTGAAAATGACGTGCTGAATTGTTAGGATTATGAATTGTTCTACTTTGATTTCTTAAAATAAAAACTGCTCTATGCTTATTT